AAAAAAATTAGAAATTTTCAGATTAACCTCAGAGATTTTCTAGGAAAAAAAAAATTCTGAGCTCCAAAAGTTGTAAATTTGCTAGAAAAACCGTGGACTATTCTCAGCTTCCAAAGTCAAAAATTGTTTACTTTTGGAAATTCCTTCATTTTTTTCTCAAAAATTTTCAACTTGAAGTACAAATTTCCAAGTTTCTTTATGGTTTTTTCCTGTTTTTCCTACCAATTTTGTGACTTTTCATACTCAGAAATTTCCAACCTTTTTCTAAAAAAATTCTTAGACTAAATTAAATAATTTCTCAGTATTTTGGACTTAAAACTTTATCACAATATTTTGTGGTACTATTGTGATAATAAAAGTGATGATAAGAACAATTTGTATATGTATTTGTATCTGTGTGCCTGTTACTGTATATCACAGAGGTCATAGCATCACAAACAAATTCTGGACAGTTTTAATTGTTTTTAAACATCGTTAATTAGAATTTAATGTGACAACAATAAATAAAAATTTTATCATGATAAGAAATGTATCACGATAACTGATAAACGATATGACTTGGATGTTAAATGAAAAGATGAAAAGATTCTTACTGAGTACGTATCCCGCCACCCATCCTCCTTTCACTCCGAACCCGTACAGAGTCCTGAAAACCAGTAAGGAAATGTAGTTGGGAGCCACAGCCACCAGGATGCCGGCGATCCCGTTCAGCACGTTGGACATGAGGAAGCTCATTTTCCTCCCAAACCTGAGAGACACAAACATTTACTGGGAAATTATCCCAAACTTCGACATCGTCCTGCTCTGTAAACTCAATCAGAGCAGAGAAAGCAAACCGACCTGTCGGCCAGGTAACCGATGGCGATGCTGCCGATCAGGAAGCCAACGTTCAGCGTGGCCTGGTACAGATCCACCAGCCACCCGTCTGAACACACCAGGTCAAACTGGACACACATTCAGGGTAGAACATGAAATAATTTGAATTTTACTTGCATTAAACAGAATATCAACCTTTTAGTAATATCAGTCTTGGCTAAGATTCTCCTGCAAAATATATTTTTAATCTCAGTAGGATTTTCCTGGTGAAATAAAGGTTAATAAAAAAAATTAAAAATAAATAAGACTACAAACTTTTGGAAACCACAAAACCACATTGCATTGATTTCAGAAATTTTAAAGAAAAAAAAAGTTCTGTGGAAAAAAACAAGGAACTTTTCTGAGTTTGAAAAATCAAAAATTTTTGACTTTTCAAACTGAGAAATTTAAAAAGTTTTTTTCCTCAAATATTTCTGAGATGAATTTCATAATTTCTGAGCTTTGTCCTGGAAAAGAAACTTTTCAAACTCAGAAATTTCCATATCCTATTCTTAAAAATAATCTCAAAGTTGCTGAGTTGTTCTCTTGCAAATTTTTTATTTTTCAAACAGACATTTTTATTTGAAAATGTCTGGGATTCATCTTAAAATTGCTGAGTTTTTTCTTTTGGCAAATGTTCAACTTTTCAAACTCAAAAATTTCAGTCTTTTTCTAAAAATGAAATTTACTATGTCTTAATAGTTTTGTCTTATTTCAAGTGTAAAAAATATTTACACTGGAAACTACACTAACTTGGTAACATTTTGTGTTTTGTAGTGAAAACCAATTTTCTCCTGCAAATTTTGCTCTTGCAGAAATTTTGATCCTTCAGCAAAAGCAATAAAACTAGATCATTTTTATTTTCAAACTCAGCTTCCCTCACCTCGGTGACGAAGGACTGCCTCCCGTCATAGTCGTACTCCCAGCCCTCGGTGCAGCCGGCCGTGGGGTTTGCGCCCCGCTCCGTCTCCCGTGGATCGCAGCTGCTTTCCGTCACATTCCAGTCCACTTCGTAGCGCAAACAGCTGCTGCGCTGCAGAACCCCGGAGATGTTGAGCAGCGGCGCCGTGAGGCTGCGACTCTCCTCCCGGCTCCATCCGCAGGCCTCCCTCCGCTGCACCGCCGCCGAGTCCCGGCACCAGTGATCCGGGGTGAAGCCCTGGAACACGATGCCCACGTACACGCCGGCCCACGGCATGGACACCATGCACAGCAGGGCGAAGATCCGCTTCTGGCAGCGCCCGAACTTCCCCGCTTCCTCCAAGATGTCGTCAAAAGTCGCCATGAGTTTTGCCTCCAAGCAGCTGATCTGTATGCCGGGCCTCTCTCTGCGCACCGACCATTCAAACTGCGGGCCCAGTTTGGCCCAGTTGGGTTTTTAACGGGACCAACTGGAGCAAAGGTCCACTGAAATGCGTCTGTTCTTCGCATGCTGTGCAGCAGAGCATGAAAAACATTTGATGTGATTTTTACAGACGTCAGACGAACAGTTAGAATTTGGCGCCAAGCCTGCATGAATTTCTCAAAGCTTCGTTAACATAATTGCATCTGATGGAGCAGCTTGATGCAACCAGTTAAAGTTTAAATACTGCATGCACATTTAAACCCGCTCCGGTCTGCATTAATTCAGACAAACTCGCATAAAACACTGAAAAGTGTTTCTGTGGAGCGAAATTGAGGTCATACAGTTTTTTCAAAAGAAGGAGGAGGAAAAAAAAAAAAAACAGGGAAAAAAGATTTGAAACTGAACAGAAGCTTGAAACTGAAAAAAAAAAAAAAAGATTGTAAAGAGAAAAACAAAGATTTTACATTAAAATGTTATTTTGAAATTGAAAAGTTTGAAACTGAAAAACAGATTTTGAAATTGGAAAAGATACACTGAATAAAAAGATTTGAAGCGGAAAAAAAAAACATTTGACACTGAAAAGAGATTTGAACCCGAGAAATTATTTTGTAACTGAAAGAACACTGAAGCTGAAAAACAATTAAATTGAAGATTTGAAACTGAAAAACTTGTTCAAAACAAATTTTCAGTTTCCAATCTTTTTTTTCCAATTTCAAACATTTTTTTTTGTTTCAAATTTCTAAAATACATTTCATGGCCCCAATTTAGCTCCATATAACCTGAAAAAGAAAACTTGATTCCAAAAATAGTTTTGGACATTTTTAACAGTTTTACATCCTTTTTACAGTTTTAAAACTTCTTCAGTTTCAAATTGTTATTTCTGGTGCACAAAATTTATCGCCCCAATATAGCTCCATACAAAGTTCAATAATGTAAGAAAAAATCAAAGGAATATTTCATAAAAACTGTCATTAAGATGAGATGAAACTTCAACAACAGAGTGTAGATCTCTTATTTATTCAAATAATGCATTATTCTTTACATCAATTTTTTGTTTTTAAATAAGAAAACCGAGAAAAAGCTGCAAACAGAAAACATAATTCAGACCAACTCAAACATAACGAACCCCATCAGTACCGAATCATCATCCCAGGGAATTTTTATGTCACAGCTTTCTCTTAACTTCAGATTTCAACCTGAAAGAGTTTCACAGATGAGAAAGTTCAGGAGAACGTTTAGGACAGAACAGTCTCATGCAGATAAGAAAAGGACGCAACAGAAAACAGGAAAAAGTTACAAAATTCCCAAAACAACAGTTCAAACCAGAATTCATCAACAAGTGATTGAACTGGGGCTGTTTTTTAATTTTACATTGATGTAACTTCAAATCAACAGTTTAATAATTTAAGTTCATCTTCGAAACCTTTGATAATCTGAAATCATGTTGAGGAAAACCCACACATCGTCTCTCTCCCAGGACTAAATCAGATTTTTAAAATGAGATATTTGATATAAATGATAAAAACAGGAGTGATGACGGGTGTTTGCGGTTTGTTTTTGTTCAACTCATCCATAAACATACTGTTAGACTCTAAAAAACCTGACATAAAGGTTACCTACAGAAGCTTGAACACTCCAGTTAGTCCAATCCTAAAGAAATTTCTCTCATAATTTGCACTTAATATATATAAATTTTTGTCACACTCTTAGACTTTGTTCCAGTGTTTGTTACAGGAAGTGACAGAAAGTCTCAAATAGATTGTGTTTGGTAGATGATAGTAATAAATGCAGCTAACAATAAATTTTGTTTCTATTATCAGGTTTTTTCAAGTGTTTTGAAGATCAAGAAGAATAATTTTTGTATTTTTAGAGGAGAAGATAAACTCCTTCTAGGGGCGTAGCAGTACATGTGATTGTCCCAAATCCCTCAAAGTTGGACAGAAAGAGCATAAAACTATGGAAAGCCGAGCTGGGAAAAAATGAAAATCCAATCTAAAGCTCTCCACACCAAAGCAATGCAAACATCACATCAGCTAATGGTGACAGATGTTTGTTTTATTTATTTTGAAACATTCAGAGCTTTTGGTAACCTTGGTTACAAAGGAGAGTATGTTGGGAGTATGGCAAGCCAAATGGTCATATAATCAAGCACTTTGCTATGCCTGGTTGTGTCTAACATTAGTAAACTTTTGATAAGCAACAAGGCTCCTAAATAAAGTTTGCTTTCTGTTTGAAATGAGGTTTTTGTCTCTAAACCCAGATCAACATGTGGTTTATATGTACTGCTACACCCACTTCCTGTTTCTGATTGCAAGTTGGACGCAGCAAAAAACACAAAATCTTACCAAGTATTCATGTCTAAACTCTAAAAAAAACTAAAAAAGATATAAGGGCTTGTTTTAGGTAAATAATTCCTTAATATTGATGAAAAAGTTCTAGTTCCATCGGTAGATTATATCTACAAGTGGATTTATGACACGGGAAAAATGTTATAAGTGAAACAATTTGCTAGTGGAAATAGCACCAATATTAATGAATTATTGACTCAAGCTCTCATCTTTATGATAAAGTTACATGCAAGTTAGTTAAGTCTTATTTCAAGTATACTGATGTATTTGTGCTAGAAATTAGACAAAACTTGGTCAGGTTTTGTGTTTTTGCAGTGACAACAAAATGAAGCAAAAGTTTTTGCATTAATTTCAGATCAGATTTAGATGTTCATTATCATTTATTTATTTATTTATTTTTTTTTTTAGCAAAATTGAAAAAAATTAGATTTGCAAAAAAATATTAAAACTCTTGTTTGACCTGTGTTTTTAATTTTATCATTTTGTGGGAGTTGCTACTTTTCTTAAATTCAACAGCGTAATTTGGACAAAAAAAAGAGGATGTTTAAGAAAATATGAACTATTTTAAATCCTGGAATTACTCAAAACTAGAACATCTGAGCACTGATTAGTTGGCAAACACTGCAGATTGGTTTTATCTCATACACCAAACAAATACTGATGCAAGTTAAATCCTGTATGTTTTTGGCCAAGTGTGAACTCTGACACTGAAAAATCTACAACATATTGAAGCAGAAGCATCAGCAAGACCTGCAAACTAGAGTTGGGTTTATAACATAAAAAAGCAGGAAACAAATCTAGTTTAGTGACTGAAATATGGCTTCCAATCTCCAGTTTCCCTTCAGTCGACCGTCCATTCCCACTTAAGGCCGTCGTACAGAAAATCAGTTAAATAATCATAAAATAAACTTTTGTGCCAAAGAAGTCGAGAAACAAACAAAAAAAAAAAAACACGATCATCCATTTACAAAAACACCTGTTCACCAGACAAAATCATCAAGGAAGGCATCAAACTTTCTTTTTAAGGGGAAAGAAAGAAAAAAACCTTCTCTGCTAGCAGCTGTAAACAGTGTCTTTGTCCCTTAACGTTTCACCAGCTTCCCAACACGTTCCTAAAGAAAAAACCTAACAAATGTTGTGCTGATTTCATCAAAGTGCTAAATTAATGGCACGACCTTATCCCAAACTGAAAAATAAAAATAAAGAGTTGTGGTTTTCTCACCGAGGAACGTGTGCAATCAGGGTTTAATTGAGAGACGCAGGTACTAAAGGCCTGAAGAACAGTTTTAAATAACGAACCTCTCAATAAATTAAAATCAACACCGGCAGTCCGAGTCCGAATCGGCCGAGAAGAGGCGCAGCGGAGGGGAGAAAAAACGCAATCTGTTGGTTTCGCCGCTGCCGTCTTGGAGACATTCACTGAGAGAAGAGTTCAGGCGGTTCATCACACCCTGAGGAGATCCTCGTCGCTGTCGTCGTCCTCACGCTTCCGGCTGCGAGGTTTGCTGCTCTTCCTCGCCCTGTCCGACTCCTCCAACAGGCCCACCAGGTCTTCATCACTCTCCTCCTGGAACAGAAAATAAAAACACGCCGTGAGGCTTTGGAGACGGTAAATTGTCTCACAAATTGTTGTAAAAAACGATGTAATTCTTGTTTTAATATCTGTATCGGTTCCGACATTGAAAAAGAAAATCTAGATTGGGTATTGGTGATATGTGTCCAATCTATAAAACAGATCTATTCATTCTAATTCTAAAAAACGACCAGTCGACTGGCGTGACCTCTGACCTGCAGGACGGCGCTGCGCTGAGTCCTGGACGCCGCCTGCGGTTTCAGCACTCTGACGCCCGGGACGCTCAGCACCTCGTCCTCGCTGTCGTCGTCCTGCTCGTCCAGAGAGAACGAGCGCAGCCCGTCCGTGTTCACCGGCTTGGTCCTGATGTGGCCGTTGCTATGGTTACTCCTCCCGCGGTGCGAGGAAGAAGACAGAGGAGTTTCCAGCTCCTCCATCAGCCACTCCATCTCCTCCTCACCGCCTTCCTCATCCGTGTTGACCTGCGGGTCAAAGGGCGGATTTAGCAGCAGCAAACTGAGAACTCCTGCGCTCTCTGAAGGCGGCCAGAACGAACCTTTGAGTATTTATACGAGACTTGATTTCCTCTCTTGCAGCAGCCGGCGACCTTCTGCATCACAAGCTCCCTGAAAGGAGACGGGGAATGTTTGATGAGAGAGAACAAACAAAACAGATTTTTTTCTTAGGCTGTTTTCACACCTAAAACAGCCTCATAATCAAATATTGCAACCAAAGTTGTAACGTTTGTTCAATTTTCATCTGGTACGGTTCGCTTTCACACCGTGTCAAACCAAACTGACTGAAAAAAAATGTTCCCCTCCACGCCTGAGGGGGCGCTGCATGAAAACCTCTGAAGAAGAAACTGAGCAAGGCTTTGAAACATCAAAAATGTGCTGAGCTGACAGAGTTGAGCTGCGGTCTCTGGTCCGCTTGGCGTTCACATCAGCACTCGAACCGCACCAGAGTTCACTTCAACCAAACAGACTGAGGTTTGTAGGCGGACCAGTTTAAGAGTTCAACTACACATTCACACCTACAGCGAACAGCGAATATTTAAAAAAACAATTTTTTTTGTGTTAAAGATTCAGTGTTGGCTTTTAAATCCTCAGAGTATCTGTTTACATTTTCGTTTTCAATAAACCAACTGGATTTCCCAGACAAACGAACTGCAGGTCGATTAAGGCGGACTGAACAGGACTTACCGTCGTTCTCTTTTGTGCAGCAGATATCCCAGCAGACAGACGACCAGAACCACCAGCAGGACGGTCAGCATTATTCCACTCGTCTGGCTGCGGTGGGAAGAATCGATGTCGCCGTCCGAGGTCTGACGATCGACGGTTCTGCAGGAAATCGACCTCCGTTTGAGTAAAACCTCTAAAACCCTCAAAGGCGTGAGGTCGGGAGACGTTTACTCACATCAGCCCACACACGGCTTCTGTGTGCCACACAAACAGATACTGGCAGTCGTCCGTCTCTCGCAGGAACTCCGGGATGCCGACGCCGACCGACGGGTTGCAGTAGAACGTGATGGTGGAGTAGACGGTTCTGTTCTCCTCGCCGTGGCACTTCGAGTCCGAGGGAACGAGAACGTCCAGGTTTCCTCCTGGAGACGCCAAGAAAAGGCCTTAGACCCGACATTTAAAGACTTTCTATAGCTTTGCTAATAACTTGTTTTTGTTTGCTTCATACGTTCGTCTAAAAGACCAAACATCCCTCAGGATTTTCACCGACGTTTAATTTAAATATTTCCTGACTCCGAGCCACAGTGAGCCGTTCGTCTCTTCCTTTTCTAGCGGCTGTTCCAGTGTTTGAAGCAGATTAATCAAAGTGCTTCTAAAAGCCTTTTTTTCTTTTTACTTATCAGAACTTGAAATTCTTGGCAGCCTTCACTTAAAACTCCTGAGTTTTGACACTTCAGATTATTGATTTGGGCCGGATCCAAAGTTGAACACCTTTATTTTAGATAAACTTTGCAAAGCTGAGCTTTAAAGAAGCTAATCACAATGCTAACAGGATTAGCATTTATGCTGCTGATCCAAATAAACTTGAGAGGAACCAGCTTTTCTACAACCATGCCAGGTTTTGGTGTTAGTCACATAAATTACCTTTGATGTAATACTTGGCCTTGTCAGAGGAGCCGATCTTGCGCCTGTAGTCTGCGTTCAGCTTCACCTGGCAGATGTTTGCACCAAGGCACTTCGGCAGGGAGTTGTTGGTGATGCCGGACAGCTGGATGTGGTAGATGTAACGGTCGCCGTTGGTGCGGATGTCGCCAGACGCCTGATGCGCTCTGACAGAAATAAATAGTTTCCACATTTAATGTTGGGCTGAAAGTAACGATTGTTTTAGAATTTGATTAATCAGATGAAAACAATTGGAACATTCTGCAGATTTTACATCTAATTCTTTTTTTAAACAATATTAGAAATTCATAAAAAGATGCAATAAACAATTTAATTCCTTTACTAAATAAGAAAATAAACATTTTATTGCAGAAAATAAAAAACATTTCAGCATTCCTTTAGTCCACTTTTGATGCTAAAAATACTTCAATGTAATTTATTTATATAGCACCAATTCACAGCAACTGTCGTGCTGAAGCACTTTATAAAACTAATTTAAATTACTATCATATTGATGTTCTAATGTGAAAATCTTTCTGTTTGGCTCATCTAAACAGTGTAAAGTTCTGTTGATTAGGTTCACTAATTAATAATTGGAAAGAAAAGACGCTTAATAAGAGATTTTTTTAAACAAAATTTGAACCAGATGAAGCTAAAACAGAAACACTAGAGATGTTTTTATCTTTGTTCAGCTTACCTGCTGTAGAGTTCTCCCAGATTCAGACTGGTTCCGGTGTCGGGAACCTTTATCATCCCGTTCTCGATGTGGACCTCCTGCTGCTTCACAGCGCAGGCCAGGCGAGTCTCCCAGCCAATCACGAACTCGCAGGTCGCCGTGTCGACCCTGATCCACGCACAGAACAGAAACCGTCATGGAGGACTTTACAGTTCATATTTACAGTGAATAAAGGCGAAACTTCAGACATGGTGGGGAATATCAGGTGAAATTATATATTATATATGTTATACGGCAAGGAAATTATTCAGATTTAGTTCATAATAAACATCCTGAAAATGAAATACGAGATAAATCCTGAGCTAAAGAGGAGAGAGAGTTTATTTTATAATGTTCATAAACATTTTAATGCAAATGATTCAAGGAGTGAAGGAAGGAAGAAAAGAACGAAGTAAAAAAAGACATTTTACAGAAGGAAACAAGAAAGGAAGGACATGAAATATTTTAGAGAAGAAAAATAAGAGCAAAAACAAAGAAAGAAAAAGAAAAAAGGAGAAAAAGACACAAAGGAAAAAAGAAAGAAAGTAATAAGGAAACCAATAAAGGAAGAAAGGACAGGAAACAGATTGACACAAAGAAAGGAGAGAATAAGAAAATAAGTCTGCGTGTGAGGAAGAGATGAAAGTCATGAAGGAGTGAAATATTTTCCAGATTTCTACAGATCTGGAAATTACTGCCTGCAGCATCACAGGTAGAAGCCAAGATATCACAACTGACTTGAACAAATCAGCCTCTTAATGTCCCAAAACATAAATATTTTCCTTTAGATCACGCCTTAGAGGGACGTGTCTGACAGTTTTCCAGGTAAAAGAAGAGTTTAAGATCCGTGTTTGCGGTGTTTTACCTGAGGAGTGACGGGTGACCCACAGTGGAGCCGCAGCTCAGCTGGATCACCGTTTTGGCCTTCAAACCTTTACCGCACACATCGTCTCCGCCTGAATAGTTCACGCTTATCTTTCCATCTGTGGAGGGAAGCAAACCTGATGAAGAGGCTTGACATTTGCAAAACTTTAGAAAAACAGCTGAACCGTGGCTCAAAAACTACTTTTAAAATGTTTCTGTTCAGGTGTCGTCTGAACGTTTCCTACCAGTGTAGCCCATTTTCTGGGTGTAAGCCCAACCCAGGGTCTCCGTCTGTCCGGACTTGGAGTGTCGGCACACCGTCGCCCCCGTTGGACAGCTGGTCAGCCCACCATGGATTCCCTGACACAGGTTGAAGTAATACCTGCAGGAAGAGATCCACATTTATATCGTCAATGTTGCTAAATGCTCCATTAATCACTCAGACTTAAAACATTTAAAAATGTATTTTAAAAATCTAAGGACGTTAGCTTCAGCCGTTGTTTACATCTGGATTTACAGCTTCTGGCTTCTTCTGTTGTCTGCAAAATTATGACATAAAATTTTGACTGAAATGCGACATGACAGCTTGTGACTGGAGATGCTTTGAAAACTATCGGATATGATGTAGTTCTACATGTGGAAATGGCACCAATTTATTTTTTTGTTGTGAAAAGATCAGAATCGGGTTGTTCAGACTGCCATGAAGAGTTTGGGTTCATAGGTCACAATCTCTTAGTTTGGCATTTAGAAGTACAACAACTGTTCAGTGAAAGCCAAGAGATTTCCTCTTGTAAGGTTTTAATTAATTAATTCTCCTTCCACTTAATTAAACTGAATTAATGTCTCATATGAAACACCAATAAATCTACTAAAGCTTCTAATTGTGACGAAATGTCGGGGTGGTGCGAACATTTTTCCAGATGAACTGGACCTCATCAGTGAGTCATTAAGTTCTGCAGAGGTCTGTTAATCACTCATCGGTTTAAAGCATAAATGTTAAAGCGGGCCGTGTCTGAAACCAGGGGTCACGTCAAGGTCACGGATGTCCTCAGATCGTCGTGAGACGTTTAAGATGTCACAGATTTCTCTCTATTTGATTAAAATGTCTAAAATTCAATAATATTTAACATCCTTTCACATTTTGAATTAAGCATGCAGCTGTTATGTTGAAGTTTTTTGGGCCCCAAAAATAGCTACAGTGGGCCAGATTTTGCCCACAGGCCTTGAATTTGATACACGTGATCTAAAGCATGCAGGAAATACTACTTAATATATTATTTAGCTGAAAAGATTTTTGAATAAATATTTAAAGTTATGCAAAATGAACTGCTTTAATGTTTCTGTTCTTCCATTTGGGTCTTAACTGCTTTAAAAAAACAGATACTTGAAAAAACAAAAACAAATACCCAGCCATTTTTGGGAATACGTTAATATTTTGGGGTATGTGCAAAACCTTCTGTCACCTAGCAACCCAGGCTGAGCTCCAGTATGTTTGGTCAGCTGGTTTTACCACCGTATAACGGCTGCTGGAAAAGACGAGGGTTTTTTTGACTGACCATCCAGAAATCACTTGCTGCATTCTTGTTGGTTGTGCAGGAGGTTCCACTAATGCTTTTCAATGATGTAAGGTTGCATATCTGTGCATCTGTTTGTAGCCATTATCAGGTACAAACGTAAACGTTGAGTTGGAGGAACTAAATTTTAATTATCTAAGAACGATTTTGTGCAAAACAATGTAACAAACATGCTTTGCAGGCAAATCCTGACCTATTCATAGGTCAAATTTAAATACAAACACCTAAAAAGACGAAGGCATGACAAACTTACGAATATCCTTGGCTGGTGAACTTCCACGGCTTGGTGCGGGACGACATGGATCGCAGGTCGAACGTATGATGCTGGCTCACCAGTTTGCACTCCATCTTCGTTGGAGGACAGACGGCGCTGGTTTTCCACTCGAACGTGGCCAGGCAGCCGTTGGTCTCGGACAGCAGCTCCGGGGTGCCGTGGCCTGCAAAGTGTTCGCAGGTGAAGAGGATGGACGACTGACGCTTCGCAGAGGTTGGAACTGAAAGAGAAAACAGGAGAATTTTACATTTGAGACATGGTGTCTGGAAAAGAAGAAATCTGAACTTGGACTAGGCCGCTCTGATACGATTCCATTGTTCCTCTGAGTATTTCACTGCAGTAACTACAAAGGAAAGTGGTTGCATTGGATTTTATTTAGATGATCTGAAGTTAAGGGAGCTGAATACATTTGGATTTGCATGTAAAAATCAAATTGGAAACTATGTGAAAACGATGTTGACAAAAGGCACAAAGATTTTAAATACTTTTGTTTTTATAAAGTTTTGCTACACATTTACTGGTGTTAATTAGATCACATTTACAGATGTGGAACAGTTTTTGCTTCTCCTGGTTCAAATTCTGTTAAAAATTAAATTAAAAAAATCTATTAAATAGTGCATTATGTGATTTGAAGATGTTTTATTTTTGGCAGCGTTAAAGAACGTCCCGTCCTTTCCGGCGTTCGGGAGTGAAAAACTCTCACCTTCGCTGCATTGTCCAAACTTCCGGTCCTTGTCGTAGTTGGAAGTTGTGGCACACCACTTCTTGCCATCCATACTTCCGTCTTTGGTGCATTCGCTGTACAGCTTGTTCATGTAGGTGAACGGGAACACGCACGTCTCATTGTTGGTGGTCACTAAAGACACAAAAGCTGCTTCTTTAACTGGTTTCTGGCATTTTGATCATCATCAAGATATTTTGGGAATCCATCAATTTCTTTCACAAGTGCCTCACATCTCCAGATATCTCTGAGGCAGGTACATTTTCTCTCCACAAAAGAAGGTAATCTGATGTTTCTGCTACAGTAGCGCTCAGCCTGCTGCAGGTAAAAGCAGTCTTAACACTTTCAGACAGTAAAATTCAGGCACTTCTAAACCATTTTCAAGATAAGCTGTCAAACTTTTCCAGCACTGCAGTTTGGAGATAAAAACAAAGAATTGAACTAAAAAAGAGACCGTTTTAATTCTTTAAAACTCACCTATTTGTTACTGTTAATAATAATGTCTTATGGCAGTTTGCTACATTCTATGAAGACAAAAATAAAGCAAAGTTTTATGTTTTGAAATGTCTCCTTCACACATGCACTAAACATCTGACTGGTCCAAGAAAAAAACCACAAATTTAACAAAAAATATTCTAATTACAATACAAATAATTGAGTAATTAGGAATAATAAATATTGTAAACAAACACATTACATAAAGAAAGTTATTTAAAAAAATCTCTGAAAATATTTTCTGCCATTTAGCAAATTGAATTAATTTTAGTAACCGACCTAAAAAACTGAAGGATTAATTGGATTTTAAAAACATTTGTTTGTTTTTATTAGGTGTATGAAAATATCTGGTTTCCACTGTAAATAATGTTTTCCAAATTAGATTGCACTTTATTATAAAACTGTGAAGTCTGGATATGAAAACTTTCAAGGATTTTATACAGAAATCAAGCACTTTAAAGGATTTTGAGCAGCTGAAATATGGATTTATAACACTAGAGTTTAAGTTTGTTTAGCTTTAATGCTGCACAACAATTCTTTAAAAAAATATTTTATAGTTTTTGGTTCTTTTTGTAAAAAATAGTTTATAAATCTATGATTTTGTGTCGTAAAGGACCAAAGCGTCTCCGTACTGGCTTGGCATGGATCTCCTCCTCCGTAGTGCATCAGCACCGCCTGGTTTTCGTGTTTGAAGTCCATCGTCATGGCTTTGCTGATGCCGAACGACGAAGCGGGCATCGTTGAACCAGAACCCGGAACCAGGCAGACCGCGCTCTGCTTGCAGCTTTTCTCCGCCACCGAGCCGCAGACGTTGATGTGATAGGTCCCGGAGGAGCCGCTCACCTGCAGAATAAAGGTGTTTATCTCTGAACCCAGGCAGGCTGGAACCGGAACGCGAAGCCGCTGATCCTCACCTGGACTTCGCCGGAAAGAGATTTGAGATCAAACGTGAAATCCAGCTGCGAGTCTTTCAGCTGGCAGCCGCTGGTCTGAGTCGCATCTGGGCAGACGATGGGAGTCGCCCACTCAAACAGGTAGACGCAGCCCTGCAGCCTCAGCATCTGAGGGGAACCCTGGAGGAAAACATTCAGAGATTAAAGACGGGGAGGCAGGATGGGATTATTTCTGATGAGAGAGGGCAGACGGACCAGCTCCACGCCTTTCTGGCAGGTGAAGACGATGGTTGAACTGTAGTTCTGATGAGGATCTGCTGCACACCGGGTCGAGCTTTGGTAGGTGATGAACACTTCACCTGTTATGTTGTTCATCTGTGGGCCAGAGGTTGAGCGGCCGATATCCTTCAACAGACAGAATCACAGAAAATTAAAGCAAAAAAATAAATAAATAAATAAGAGACAAAGTTAAACTTTAAAATGTCTAATTAACCCCTAAATTCAGTTGTATTTCTGTGTTTTTAACTCCAATTAAGACTTAAAAAAATCATAAAGCATAAATAAGTTGATGTTTTTTGGTGTCTGGAGAATGAGCTGCTTCAAAAACCTCAGAAATGTTGAGTCATGATGCACCATTTTATTAGAAACTCAAATTTCTGACTATTTTTAATTTAATGTCTTGTGATTTTTCTTTTCAAGCTGAATAATAATGTGAATACAGAAACGAAGGCCGTTTCATCGGTGCACTCCCTTCTTTACAGAGCTGAAAGATTTCTATAAATAAAGTGATGACAGAATGTGTGTTGTTGATGCCGTATAAAAACCAGGTCAGGTGCCAGATTTCTCACCACAGGTGGCCCGTTATCGGGGTCCAGGCAGACCGCAGCTCCAGGCGGGCAGGCGACGTCGGGGATGGGGTTCAAAGGCTCGCAGAGGTTCAGGTAAAAGTCAGGAGAGTTGTCGTTTTGGTCCACTTCATCATCTGATGGGACAGGAATGGAGAAGAAGACCGAGTTAAAGAAAGAAATGAGTTAAATAGCAGGTAGAGCTGAGCAAACCCACCTGTAGCGGTGTAGTATCCAGTGCGGTGAATGAGAGGAGACAGGTCTATGAGAGAAGAGCCGTTGTGGACCGAACAGGTCACCTGGTGATTTAAATAAATCATATAAAAAGAATTAAAATGAGAACACCGTCAGGCCCATTTCACAGCACAGCTGCATCCACCAACCCACTGCGATAAATCTCCACTTTACAGCAGTGGCAACATTAAGTTCCAGTGTTTGATGAATAATTTTCTAAGCAAGACTTGATAGAAAATAAACAGCCATAAAATCATGCAACCAACAGTCAATACTATTAAAATTTAATTGCATTTTTTTATTTTAAACAGATCTGAAATAAGCTTGTCGTAATAAAAAATAACTTAAATGATGATTTGCATGATTTATTGTCTCTTTTCTCTCTTTTCTACCAAAAGCTGGATGACAAAAGTCTCATTACTTGGTCTTAAGTAGCCTTATTTTTTGACAGTTTAATTTACAGAGACTTAAGGATGCAATTTATTTGTTGTTTTGTTTGGAGATTTAAAATTCCTTCCAGTTCCAACGTCAAATGTTTGCTAGAAATGAAAGTTTACTGAGCTTTGAGAATGACAGTTGAACTGTCATGACATCACCTCTGCATTATTTGAAAACAGTCTCAAAACAACAATATTATCTTTTAACACAACAACATATGGGACAATTCATCAGCCAGAAAACCTAAACCAAAGAACACGTACAGTTTGTTCACAAGCCAGCGCTGTGTGGACGGAGAAGAAGTGTGTGCAGGTTTCAGCGTTCGTGCTGATGAAGACCGGCTCCTCTGAGGTGGAGCTCATGTAGGAAGGCCTGAACAATCACACAGAGAGGGAAAAAATAAACATTAATGGTTGCTATGAAAGTCTGTTTTAATATGCATGGTGTCAAGATAAAAAAAGCCACCAGATCCCAGAGAAACAGGAAGCCATTGCTGCAACTTGAATTAATCCCAAAGGGAAATTAGATATATTTGTGACGCATATCTTCCAAGTATCGTCAAAAAGTCTTTCTGAATTGTGATGCATTGATGAATTTCTGAATAATTGAATCGTTGTGACGCCTCAATGTTTTTATCCAGCAATATGGCAGTAAGCTAACTTTGGCTCAACTCCGATAATAAAATAATGGTCTGTAAGTCTTAAGTCTAATTCAGACAAGGACTAAAACAATTAATCAGTTTAATCGTAGTTAACTGTCAACTAATTTAGTAATCGATTAGTCATTAATTGGAGTAAACAGACTCAAAATAAGGCAATTTGCTGAAAAAAATCCAACATATTCAGAGCAGCCAAAACTGTTCAAAATAAATATACATTTTGCATTTAAGATTAAAAAAATCTTTCTGTGAACAAGTTTTACCCAAAACTCCTCAAGTGGCGTTTTTTCAGTTTCACCCAGTTCAAATTCACCAAAGAAAAGCAGTTATTGCATTTTAAGCACTAAAATGGTTGCCAAATTGTCTATTTTCATCTTTTAATATTTTTCTTATATTGTTTAAAAAAGGATTAAGCAGTTAAATGCGGTAGAATATGCCGATTTATTTTAAATCTAATTAATCATCAGAATAAACGATAGATTAATCGATTATTATTTATTAGTTGCAGCTCTAATTCAGACAGAAAATCTACTAAAATTAAGGAGTAGCAGGAAAAATACCTGCAGATGAAATTGATGATGGTCTTGTGCTTCAGGTTGGGGTTTGCAGAGCAGGGACTTCCTCCTTCATACGTCAGCTCCAGCACGTGATCTCTGTACGACAGCCTGGTGCTCGCTTCACCGCCGCTGATGGCCGTGTTCCCCCCCTTAATGCAGACGGCTGCACAGACCATTTAACATCAACACATCCTCGTATAAAACATTTACATTTTAAACATCTCCAGGCTCTCCAGCGGTTATAATAAACTCTTTCTAGTTGAAGAGTGGATAATAATTTCAGAGGGTTTTGATGTATTTGCACGCAGTGATGATGCAGAAAGTCTGTAAACGGTAACCAGGTGCGACCTGCAGGACATATTTTAATTGTACACCAGCAGTGGCTGGAGACATCTGAGCACAGGAGACAATAAATAACCTCATTTCTTTACTTCCGTGTTAAAAATTAAAGTAATTCTCTGTCTCTCTGGCCGTTTAAGCGTTCAGTTCGACACATACCGGTTCCTGGACTGCATCCAGAGTTCGTCACTTCCCCACAGATGTTCAGGCGAAACATTCTCTGCGGTTGGTTGTGATCGTAGACGACATAATCTTCAGATTTCTTCAATGGATTCAGGTCAAATAAGTGACCTGGAGGAGGCAGAAATAATCAACATGGGAAAAATGTCAGGATCAAATCTAAAACAAGAATATTGTTGAAGTGAATTTCTTTTGAAACTGATAATATGTACAGTGGGAATGAACAAACTGACTTATCCAAAGCTTTTATTTCATGCTCATTTTGATAATCATGGCTTGCAGCTGCTGAATATTTTGGATTATCTAAGAATAATAAAAGAAGATATTTAACACAAAACGTCTGCCTGTGTGCTGTACAGCACAAATGGACCAGAGGCGACTTTTGCATGAATTATTGCAGTAATGCAGTTTGGCATGGAGGCTGCCTAAGCTGTACTGAAATTTGTGTTTATGGAAACAACAGGATGTTGATACTGGCAGAAAAGACGAAGAAGACAACAGGAAGTGGTCAGAGAAAGATGGATGACTTATCGTGAACAAACTTATTCACATGTGATTTTAACTTAGTTTCTTATTTAATGGAAACAAAGCAGTTGTGAATTTTATTATTTTTTTTACATTAGCTTAATATCAGCAAAGATTTGTGCTCATCTGTAATGGAAACTGCCCGTCTGCTGCACCGTTCTGATAACCTGAATTCTGAGTTTTCATTAGATTGGGCATCGTTTTTAGAATGACCTGTAGCGGGGTTGGTAACTCTGCAGTCGATATGTTGGCTGGTGTTCAGAGGACAGGCGGCAGCCGTCGACCACAGGAAGGTGTAGACACAATCCTCTATCACCGAGATCAGGATGGGTCTGGAGTCCTGAGTGGGACACAAGAGTACAGCCAATGCTTTTTACTCCCCGTTTAGAAAACTGGAAAAAAACAACATCAGCTGAGTATGTTGGCAGAACCACTGAATGAATTAGGGCTTCAACTAATGATTAGTTCATGAATTTATTAATCAAATAATCGGCACATTCAGCAATTTTTCATTTAACCACTCAAACCTTTTTATACAATACTAGAAGTCCCATTAAAATGCAAATAATCAATAATTCATTTTTTGAATAAGAAAAATAAACATTTTATAGCCTATAATGCAGTGACAGCATTCCTTTAGTGAAAGCTTCATCATTTGTAGCTACAAAAATAGATTCCTAATATTGACATGTGAAAAACTCACATTATTTTTTTATTAATAACTGTTTTCTTTTTTGAGCCAGATAAAGCTAAATCTAGCACTTTGAGAGTTTAGAACATACATACAGAAAAGTAAAAAAAAAAAAAAATCATTTTAAATACAATATGCATATATTTTGTACCGTTTGGCTCTGAATATTTTGTTCTTTACACAAAAGGCCTTTTTAAGTCTGTTTGCTCCAGTTAATTAATCAGTGACTAGATTAGTTGACACTTATTTCAATAGTCGATTAATCACGATTTATCCGATTAATCACGATTTATCCGATTAATCACGATTTTTATGCGAGTAAACGTTTCAGATGTAGAATAAATTTGCACATTTTAACCCTATTGTGTATAAAATTAAAAATTCAGCATCATCTGGGGAATAAGTACGTTGAGTGGAGTTGCGCGTCCTTCGCAGCTTCTGGAGCCGTTAATCCCAAACAGATGCGATTTCTGTTTAATCTGAATAATGCCAGAGGTGTGTAGTTGGAGGCTGCAGCGTCTCTCACCACTTTGTCTTTGTCGCACTGGAGGCGGATGATGCTGCTCCGGTTGTTGCTGCCGTCCGAACAGCGATGGCCGCCGGTGTACTGCAGCTTCAGGATGCCTCTGTCCAACTGAGGACCGGACGTCAGCTGCCCCAGACTCACATAGTCGCCCCCGTCCTTCAAGCAGGACGCTGCGCTGGAAGGACACTTCCACGAGCCTGCAGGGCGACGTGCAAACCCTCAGTGTTTGACTTCTGGGTGTTTAGTGAACGTGCAATGCTTTCAGAGTCATACGGACCTCCCTGCTGCACCAGCGACCTGCAGACGTTGATGTAGAAAATTTTCCTTGGGTCTTGAGTCGAGACGTCCACCTCCCAGTTCTGAGAGTCCAAAGCCAGAGGGGAAAGGTCGTAGGAGTGGCCCTGACCGTCGCTGAGGATAAAATGAGACAAAAAGATGCAAAATTTTACGTTTTTGGCTTTAAGTCACTTACTTATTTTGGCATCAAGACCTAAAGTATTTGATTTTTCTTCAAAAAATTAATTATTGAAAAACTCGCTGTTTAAGTCAAGGAAAGAAAAAAAATTTAAAATGTTTTGAGCACAAACATGAAGTTGGAAAAACTTTAAAAATATATATATTTAAACCTATTTAATCCTTTTGAAATAATTAAATCAATTAAATGACTAAATAAACACATATACACCTCCAAAAATGATAAATTTTATATTTTCAAAATATTGTAATTTTTTTGTATTACTTTAGTTTTCAGCTAAAATCATTTTTAAAAAATTATATTTTCAAAAATTATTTTCTTATTTAAATTAATGAAATAACTTTTTCCCAAAAATGTTTTTTTTTTCTGTAATTTTTTTAAAATTTTTTTCTTTTGTCATTTTTTTTTATTTAGAACCAACATGAAGAAAATTAGTTTCATCTGTTCGCTAAGAGTAATATAATCTTTTACAGTCCTCTTTTCAGTTCGCTATATTACTACACTGCCAGATTTTTATCCACTTATATTTAAAAATATAACTTTTGTTCCACTGCAACAGGAAAAAGGGAAAAATAATCCTATTTTAGTCACAGCCCAGCTAATTTATGCCCCCTAGTGGTCGATCCTGTCATTTCAGATTATCCCGGTTTCATCACCATGTGCTGACAGCGATGAGGCAGAATGCCTTTCATGCATGTTTACTTGTAGGAGCAGCTGGTGGTTTTGACTGGGATGCAGGCCAGCGCAGTGGGCCAGCTGAACAGGTAGGTGCAGTCCGGAGTCTCCTTCATGAACTCTGGTACTCCCTGGAGACGGAAAATCCCAAACACACGTTTTTAAGTATTTAAAACAAAAATGTAACAATCATAAATGAATCCTAGCACATAATTAAACAGAATAAATATAAAGCGGCAACTAACAATTATTTTAGTAACTGAGTTTTCTGATGATTAATAAATTAATCGGATAAAAAAAATTGGCCACACTACAGATTGCTTATTTAACCACTTAATCCTTTTTTATACAATATTGGAAATTAATTAAAAGATGCAAACAAATATTTAAATCCTTTAGTAAATAAGATAATTAACATTTATTACCTAAAATGCAGTAACACAGTAATACCTCAGTGAACACAGCAAAAAATCTTTCCAACATCAACATATGAAAAGCCCAACTCTTTCTGCTTGACTTATCAATATAGTGTACAGCTGATCTGTTTATCATTTAAATTAATAAATCAATAATTGGATAAAGATTTTTTTTATTATTTACAGAATTTGAACCAGATAAAGCTAAAACTATGACAGCTAAGGAGTTCAGGATAGAACATTTTTACAGACAAAATGTTTCGTTTTTATCTTAAATGCAAAAATGTGTGTATTTTTTGTACAGTTTTGTATTAATTGCTGCTCTGAGTATGTCGTTCTTTCAGCAAACGGCATTTTTAACTGGAAGTGTTACATTCCAGTTAATTAATCGATTACTAAATTAGCTGACGATTAATCTGATTAATCGTTTTCATTGTGAGCCACAATGTTCCCAGAACTGGTGACACCTACTGGATGCTTGTCAGGGTTGCAGGAGAAGCTGATGACTGTGGATCTATTATAGATTTTATGGCAGACATCCCCACTGGTGTAGTTCAGGAGGATCTGATCCCCGACGAAACTCAACTTCTGGTTGGACAGTCCTACAGAACCAAACACAAGAGGTTAGAGGAAAAACTGTGAACAGAAAAGAATCGGAATACATCAACACGTCCTTACCAGCGACCTTCTGAGTTTTTCCAGCCACCTGGCAGGACGACACTCCGTCTTTGGCGGAGCAGACATTTTTCTGCAGTGGGCTGCAAACCGACAGGTGGTAAATGTACTTGTCACCAGTGACGGCAAAATCTCTGTCCTTCAGGGAGCTGAAGTCAAACTCATAGCCGCTCTTGGAGTCACGAACTCGACAGTTATCCCCTGCAAAGAAAAGACGATTCTTGCTTCAAGTTTTGTAAATCCTTTGGATTGAAAACATCTGAATGTTGGAAGGTAAACCTGGTTTTACCTTGAACCTTCCTGATGGGGCAGGCCTCCGACGTCCTCCAGCGGAAGATGTATTCACAACCGTCTAGACTGTCAAGCACTGGGGAGCCCTGGAAGAAAACGGCCATGCATCAAGCAAAGCTACATGATCGGTTTTGGTTTTCTGCAGAGGTATGTGGTAATTTATTCAACAATATTCACTCAAATTAAAGATGCTGAATTGAATTTTCTAGGAGAAAAAATGCCAAATTTGCTACTACAATAGGCCCACGTCTATTCACGGATTTAACTAACTGTGTATTGTTTGTGGACTCTTTCACTCAGATCCTTCAGACTAGCCAGAAGCAATTAGCAAACACCTGGTGGAACTAAACATCAGCTGAGATGATTACAGGAACTACTTCTCAGTGAAATGCGTTAAAAGGTTAGTAAAGGAGCCACGTTGTGATGACTTCCTGAAGGCAGTTTCAGGAAGACTACGAGTTTTTAAAGAGACAGTACTGTATTTCCACTCTGACTGGAGCTGGAAAGACTCACCGGACTGTCGTCACATTGCAGTATGATGCGCGTTGAGTAAGTGGACGAACTGCCACACTTGTCTCCGTTCTGGTACACGATGCTGATGGAGCCGTCCTCCGCCACCTGCGGGCTGGACTGCATGTATCCCAGGTTGAGACCTTTCCCACTAATCACACCGCAAGCTCCGAGAGGACCCACTGAGGAGGAGGTTTACGAGAAAAAGGTTTGAAATCAAAGGCAAAAGATGGAAAATGGAGGGAAGCAGAATGTTCTGCTGTCCTAACCTGGACATCTGTCCACAGTCGGGAGCGGCTTGCAGACGTTTATGTAGAATCTGCGCGACTGGCCGGCGTCCGTTGGGATCCACGGAGAGTCGTCCTCATCTCGGGCCAGGTGGCTCAGATCATACTCATTTCCACGGGAATCTGAAAAACAATCGAGTTAATAAAATTAATCATGATTAATCAATTATTGAATTCATTTGTCAACTAATTTAGCAATCGATTTATTGGAGCAGCCAATTTAGACGTGAGCCTTCAAACCAGTAAGGAATAAAGTGTGTTGGCGCTCCTACCAGCGATGGTGCAGTCAACCGCAGCAGGGACGCAGGCCAGCGCGGTGGAGAACTCAAACAGGACGTTATGAACCACATGGGAGGATAAAGAACTCATTTCCTCATGAACGTGCATTATTGAGCCCGGGTGAGCGTTTGGGTCGCACACAAAGTTAACGATGAACGTGTCTCTGGTTCCTGGAGAAAACGGCAACAAGAAAAACTCATAAGAATTTTAACACTACAAATCATGGAGCTTCTTAAAATGTTTTTCCACATTTCTTATGTTTCCCTGGCCTCCTGTTCGACTACAAACGGGAAACCAGTCAGCCACAAGGCAGCAGCTTTTCTGCTGTTCGATGTGTTGGTGCTTCCTTAGCAATGAGAATTTGTTCTCAACCATCTTACCTGATGAAATAAAGGTTTAAAAAATAAAACTCAATAAAAAAACAATACATTTAGGACTCCATATGTGCTGAAATCAACTTACGCTTTAAATAACTTTGAATTTTGCTGGTTTGAGTATTTTAGAAAATGCTGAGTAACCAGAATCATTTGTGAAATTAAAACTAAAATCCAGTTTTTAATTAATTACCATTATTTTACATCTATCATAAAGATAAAACGTGTTTTCAGTACCCGTTTGCTCATCCAGCCGCCCCCTGTAGGTCAGCTGTAGTTCGCCGTTAGTGGAGTATTTCAGTGTCTTCTGCAGCCCCACTGGGGATACCGGCTGCCCGTTGTCCAGCTCACAGCCACCCATTCTCGACCCACATCCCGGGGCATCTGCACAGATGTTCAGCTGCAGACAGGAGGTATGTGAGTCCTGGATACATCTCATAATAAAGGGAGTGTAGTTTGCTTTCTTACATTTAAATGAGGGAAGACAAAATAAGGAAAAACTAACAAAAAAATTAAACTTTCTATTATCAAATGAATTCCTGGATTTTTAAAAAATGATCTAGAAGATCCTGCACTGTGACAAACATTTAAATGACGCATCAGAAGCTGTGTTTTCATTACAAATATGCTCAAAGCTTTGTCTATATCCTAATGTGAAAAACAATTTCGCAACTGATGTGTTTTCATTAAATAAGAAATGGAACTAAAATCACAAGTGAATAAGTTATTAAAGTTATCCTCCTGTTGTCTTCTTTGTGGTTTGCACCAGCGGCAACATCCTGCTGTTGATCATGTGACTCCATTGCAGATTAGCAAAATAAACTGAACAAAAGAAAATCCCCTTATCCTAGCTTCAAAACTTAAATCAGTGTGTTTCCGTAAAGCAATTTTATTTTTGAAATGTGAAATTGAGCAACAGAAACATTGCCAGTTTCACCAGTCAGTGTTTTACCAGGAAGTCTTTGCCGTTAGCAGTTGTCCGGTATCCGTCCTTAGAGGCCAAAAGCTGGAGGTTGTACTTGAAATTTGAGTCAGGGTCCACAATCGAACAAGTCTGAAAAATACCAGCAATCAACATCTTTCAACATTTTACCTTCAAGTGAAAAGGTGATCTTTGCTGCAGGTGTGAAAACGAGGAGGATGTGGGACAACATACATTATTCTCGACGGTCTGGATGGCGCAGGCTGCTTTGGTCTCCCAAATAAAGATGGCAGTGCAGTTCTGGTTTAACTCAAACTGCGGCGACTTGACCTTCAGAGTGAGCAGCAGAAACACGATCACATCCAGCTTCATGGAGAACATCCACAGGTCGGTTTTATGACAGACTGGACTTACTATGGCTCTTCTGTGGCAGACCAGGTGGATGAGCGTCGTGTAGGACAGTTTCTGGCCCTCCGACATGCAGACAGAACCGTCTGTGAACTCCAGCAGCAGTCGGTCCCGGGCCTCGATGATCGGCCCTCTCTTGGACTTTCCCATGTTGCTGACGGACACCACTTCCTTTGGCGAGCCCTGAAGGCGAAACACGATTAACAAAAGGCTACGATGCTCAGCTGCAGTGGGAAAACTTGCACTGATGCACCAGAAGCAGAGCTAATGCTTACTGACTTTAGAAACATTTCACTTAGTTTAACGCACTTAGCTTCCCCTAAATAACTTTTTCCAGAATATTTCTAAAGCTCTTAAAATGAAATTGCTGCTTGAGGGTTGTCGTCTTTCAAAGACAAATATAATTTGAGCTCAAGTTAGCGCATTAGCTTATGCTAAATCAGTCACTGTTAGGATTATTTTTAGTATTTTCTCCACTTTTTATTCAATTACCTAAATAGTAGACAATTATTCCAATAATCAATTAATCAGCCTGACAATAAATATGAAAGAATTTGATTAAATGTAGTTACTGTGTGCAGTTTAGTGACATAAATCATTTATGAAAGGATATTAAAAATGGGAATATTTTTCAAATGCATTTTTTGTGTTTTTACTTTAAAAAAGTAATGAATAGTACTTATGAACACTTTTATCACTATACTACCACAAAATATTGTAGTAAAACTTCAAGTTTTACTAATATTTGGTGAAGAAAAAGGTGAATTCAGACCTTTTCTGTTATGTATTTCATCTGGCAGACCGACGCGTCCTGGTCACATCCTGGAACGGGAACGATGGGCCGACAGACGTTGATGTAATACTTCCTCTGACTGGAGACGTCGGTCATATCCATCGCCACCCAGTTGTTGGCTGAGGTGGAGCGCGACAAACTGGAGGCAGAAGAAGAAGAAGCAATCAGGAAGTTGAGGAGGACAAACTGCAAAAACATAAAATCTTACCGAGTAATATCGGTCTAGTTACTAGAGCAAATATGTTATTACACTTGAAATAAGGCAAAATCAACTTACAAGTAAAAATACAGTGAGTTTTAAGAGTTTGTTTTAAGTCAGTAATTACTTCATATTGATAAAAACTTTCCTATAACAAGATATTTTTAACTTATAACAAGACATTTTTCCAATTCAAGTGTGCTTAGGAATTTGAAACAACACCAGAAATACTTGGTAAGATTTTGCTTTTTTTGCAGTGACAGTTTTGGAGTCATTTTATATTCAAGCAACAAAATGAAAACACATTTTTTAAAACAGTTTTTACAATGAAATCAGATCAGATACAGAATTGCCGTTTATATTTAATTTTTATTTGCAAAATATAAAGAAATTTATATTGCATGTTTATATGTATGTTGTTTTGTTTGTTTATTTTGGATACATCTCGGTTCCAGCGTTAAAAGTTCATTAGAATTTAAAGTTTATTGATCTTTGAGAATGTGTTCTTCCATTATGTTACTTGAAAATGGTATAAAACAACAATATTATTGTTTCTTCTGGGAATATTTATCATCTAGAAAACTTTGCTAACGTGACAGACCTACGGCGAACAAAATCATCATCAAGGAAGGCATCAAACTTTCTTTTTTAGGGAAAAAAAAATAAACATCTGCTCTACTAGCAACTGTAAACAGTCTCTTCATTCCCTTAATTACATTTACCAGCTTCCCAACACTAAAGAAAAAACCCAACAAATGTTGTGCTGTAATTAATGCTAACTTTACATTTAAAAACAAAAGCGTTACCTGGACAGGTCATACTGGTCCAGCGTGATGGGATCCGTCACCAAACACTCGTGAGGTCGCTGAGGACAGGCGTAGGATGTGTACCAGCGGAAGTTATAGGTGAAGTTATCTTCCACCTGCATTCAGACAGTGTGAATCAACAACATGCAGAAAGAGTTTGAAGGACGTCAGAAGAAGGAGGAATCTTACCTGGAACTCTGGGCTTCCTGCTCCTGCCTCGGGGTCGCACAGGAAGGAGATGAGTGTGGATCTGAGGGTGTGGTTCGCGTTGTTGTACTGGGAGCCTTTGCTGTAGGTCAACTGGATCAGGCCGTCGTAGTAGGACAGGAGGGAGTTCGCCTCCCCGAGACTCCAGGAGCTGAAAGCAGGAACAGATGGGAGTTAGTCCTGGAGGTTTGGATTGAGTGCAGAGATTTGGAGGTGGAGGTTCACCTCTGTTCCACTTGGCACGCTCCGGCCTTCTCAGGACACGCGGCGGCTTTGACTGGACCGCAGACGTTGATGTAGTAGTCGTATCCGCCGCTGGTCATGTTGTAGTAGCCGCCGTTGGGTTTGGTGAGAGGAGACAAGTCGAAGGAGAAACCTGTGGATGCAGTTGGAGAGAGGAGGATTAAAAACTGAAGGAGGAATAAAGGAAACTCGAACCAGGTCAGGTTTTATTAGTATGGAATGAAAGTAAAATATCCAAAACACAATGTCCAGATTAAAGAAATCTCCATAAATCGCATTTTTAACGATACAGATTGCAAAGCATCTTTTATTCATGTTTTTTTTGCATATTATTCCTTTTTAAAATGAACAAATAAATTGAAAATTAAATGAAGCGTATATAAATGTAAATAATTCTCCTTGTGGAAACTGAGATAATTCACATCATTTTTAAGCGAATTTGAACAATATTGACATTCTGAGTTGAAAGGGGCATTATCACCAGTAGGTGGTGGTAATCCACACCAAATAGCTTCTTCCTGAGTTAATAACTGCAAGAAGAAGACTATAATAACTTCACATCAAAGTGCTTCTTCTGTGATAATAAACGTGATGCGGCGCGCTGCTCCCAGCAGCCACTGGCTGGGGGATCCAATTAATTCACAAGGTTCACAAATTGATATTTTATTGAAAAAACTTTTCTCTGGCACCAATGAAGCAACATATTTATCCTCCCCTTGTTTCTCTTTTTGGATTATAAATAAGCAGCTAATAAATTATGCCGTCATCTAAAATTTCTGAGAATTAGCCTAAAATTCCTGGAGTCTTTTCAACTTAAACATTAACTGGTTGAAGAATAATGAGGCTCCAGACTATAAAAAAAAGCCAAATATGTAAAAATCCCTTTTAGGTCATTTTTGATTTCCGATTAAGCTGATTGAGGAAACAAAGGCAGCCAAAATAAAAAGCTAAATATGTTTTTGTTTCTCATGCTGGGGTAGTTTAGCATGAACTATTGGAGACGTGTGTTGGTGCCGTACCAGCCTGGGGATCCTCCACCATGCAGTTGTGTCCTTTTGTTTTGGACAAGACGCAGGCAGCAGCGGTGTACCACTCCACCTCATACAGACATTTATCAGGGGAAATGCTGCGAAGCATGGGAGGTCTCTCAAGATGGCCTGCAGGACGTGCAGGAAGGAGGAAAAAGAAGGTTATCAAATTAAAAAAAGATGCTAAAGAAACAAACACAGAGAATATGGCAGTGAAATCCTGTGGTTTATTTCACCTGGTTTGCATTTGAGAGTCAGTATAGTTTGGGTCGTCTTCCTGTTTCCACAAGGCGCCCCTTCAGTGTACATCAGTCTGATGTCACTTCCCTGTTTAGTGATCCGGGGAGGAGAGAGGAAGCTGCCCAGGTTGATGGTTTTATTATTTTTATCTGAATCAGAAAGAAACAAAGAGATGATTAGATAAATGACCCGTCATATGCAGCATAAATTATAATGATACACTGCAAAAACACAATATCTTACCAACTATCTTTGGTCTAGTTTCTAGTGCAAATATCTTAGTACACTTGAAATAAGACAAAACTAGCTTAGAAGTAACATTTCAGCAAGAAATAGGAGCTTGTTTTAAGTCAATAATTCCTTAATATTGATGAAAAGGTTCCAGTTCCACCAGCAGATTATTTCACTTATAACATGGGAAGTATTATTTTTCAGGCATCTAGTAATTTCATAGCACAATCAAGTCACCTAAAAATGCTACATCAAATGTGACTTAAGACATTTGACTCCGTAGTTTAATGCCTTGAAATTGGGCTTCTGTCTCTTTAAAACTCTGCATTCATGAAGTCATCACAACATGGCTCCTCCATTAACCCTTTAACAACGTTTTTACCAGCTTTGCTCTGAGAAGTAGCTCCTACAATGAGCTCAGCAGTTGCGTAGTTGCTAATTGCTGCTGGCTAGTCTGAAGGAGCTGAGTGAGGGAGCGCTGGTCTGGGAAACTGCAGCTCAGAGGAGGAGCTGCGCCTCGAAGGCGGGGCTAAGTCCACACAGGCGTTTTGCACAGCTGAATGGTTACCATGGAGACGAAAGCATTTCTCAAACATGCATGAAATAATCAAGGCAACACTCCAGGTTTGTTTTTGATGAGGGAATAACATCATAACATGATGTAAATCTCAGAATCGGCACTCTGAGATCTCTTATGTTGCTGAAAAGTTACTTGAACTGAGATATTTACAGTGGAAACCAAAATCACTTGTAAAGATTTTGCGCTTTTGCAGTGTAATATTTAGGATTCCTGTGGACGTCTTACCCACAGCGCAGAAGGAGGCGTCATCTGGGCAGCCGGCAGCTCCTCCTCTCCTCAGGACTTTGTGGCAGATGTTCAGGAAGTAATGCGTGTCCGGTTTGGTGGCTCGGCCGTCCACTACCACCCAGTTCTCACTGTCCATCGACTCTGAAGCAGAACAGAGAAAAAGACAAAAGATCAAGACAAACATGAATGGTTCCAGGTTTCTCAAAGTTCTTTTTAGTTCAGAACTATGAAGCGATGAATTTGTTTTTTTCCCCATCAACGGACTCCTTGGGTTTCCATGATTCTGAGAGATGTCAGCGTGCCTAGAGCGGCCATCTTGTTTGGACTTTGAATTCAAGTCAACTCTATGATGGAATATTAGAGACGAGCTACGACTTTGTGGAATATTGTCTCTGGAAATTGAGCTGTTAGCATGTTAGCTGTCACACAGCAACAGTTTCCAGTCAGAAGCGTCTTCAGATTTGTTGCAGCACTGACTGCTAGTGGATCACCGTCCACAGAAATACTTGGATGACATCAAATGAAATAACACTAAAATAGCGAAAATTATTTAAAAACTCAGTGGAAGGATTAATTGAGGAAAAATAATTGCTGGTCGGATTAATCAGAGGCGGATTTAAATAAGATATAAGGAGGAACTCACCGGGATATCTCGTAAGGCGTGAGAGGTCGTAGTGTTTCCTGCCGTCTCTGACCTGACACAGCAGGTCCTCCTTCTCCTTGACGCAGGCGAACGCCGTGTCCCAGTTAAAGTAATACGTACAGTCCGTCTCCCCGGCGAAAACCGGACTCCCATGTCCGTTGTTTGCTGTAAAACACAAAGAGAAAAAAATTTAATCACTTTATGACATGATTTGTCATTCACATTCGAGCTGCACCTTGTTTTCTGATCAGTTTTAAAGCTATAAAAGCAGTAAATGCTCAAGAAATGTGATCATGTTACAGAAATATTCAAAAATGTCCAACTCACCTGCGGTTTTGTTGCATTGGAAGTTGATGATGGTCATCCTCTGGAAGCCAGAGGAGCATTTATCTCCGCCTGGATAAATCAGACTGAGGTCTCCATCTGAATACCTGCAGAGGAGAAAATAACAGTTTAATGAATATTAACTGAGTACAAAACATTTAGATTCTGCAGATTCATTAAAGCTGTTGCACCTTTTTATTTTCATACAAATCCAATTCTCAGGTTTTTCAAATTCAGGCCAGAGTTTCCTCTTAATTTCTGATGAAACATCAGATTGTGACAAGTTTACAGGCCACATGTATTTAAAAAGCAAACCTGAAGCTATCAAAGGTACCGATGGATATTTTATTACTTATAATTTGGGCTGAGCGGTAAATAAATCTTATTGATTAATCAAATTGCATTGTTTTATTGAAAAATCTGTATTTTTTTCACCAAAACAATGATTGGGTTTTGAGAGTTCAGAGTGATGTTAGATGTTTTCTGTATCATTTTTGTTGTTGTCGTTGCTCTACTTTAATTTTTTCTTTTTTAGGAAAAATGTGAGGGGAAAAATAGTTTTAATGTTTTTTTTAATTAGATATTTTGTTTTTAAGCCATATTGCCCACTTATGATCAATAATATAGACAATAATATCAATCAAGTTTAAATTTATAGCACATTTCAAGTCAGTTCAAAGTATTATACATCGTGAAAACAAAAACATCATAAACCTGTCAGGAATTGTATTTTATCAAATAATAAACATTTGGTTCTCTGTAGAAAACTTTAACATTTAATCAGATATGAAACATTAAGTGTCACATTATGAATAAATAAGCTGAGATTATATCTATATTTGATTAAATCTAAAGAGCAGAAACCGGCACACAGAGACAAACATTACCGTAGCGTCTGGTTCTGGAACCTTCCGGCCACTTTAGAGCTGCTTCCGGACTTCTTCACCTGGCAGGACGAGGCCGAATGGTCGCTGCCACACACATCATTGAAGACGCTCCCACACACGTTCAGGTAATACAGGTAGCTCTCAGAGCCTTCACCGGACGGAGACGGGACGAAGTAGGGCCCCTCTGAGGCTGAACGCACAAAACCAACAACATGTCTGTAAAACTCATGAAAAAAGATGATCTGACTGGGTTTATATTGGTGTTAAAATATAAATATATATACGTTTGTTTGAAAACTACATAGAAATTATAATTTTTATGAGCTGAAATGATTTAAAGTTTCTTTTTGCATTGCTTTTTTCAGAAAGTCAACAAGATTTTTTAAAATTGTTTAATGTTAAAAAAACATTAAAATAAATTCATTTCCAGGCTTCATTCAAGCACATTTCAATCTGCTTCTATGCTTTTTTAAATTATTTTATTTCTTTTTTGTCCATCTGTGCTATACATTGTTTTTTATTTTTGCAAAAGAAAGAAAACTGCTGTCAAAGGTGCAACATTTGGGTTTGAAATTCAGACATTTTGATTGAAACCGTTTCTAAACACCTGAGGCTTTGTCATTAAAAATTAAGTTACCAGCTGAAAGAATCACCTTTTAGTTTTAATTTAAATAAACAGATTTTAAATAAATTTAGCTTATTTTAATCAATAAATTGAATAAATGACAAAATGACATAAAAACAGGAAGCTTAAGAATAAAGATATCATTTAAATGAGAATTTAAAAAGACTGTTTTGAGCCAAAAGCTACAACATCTGATCTGAGTTTGATTTTATAAACTGAGAAAAACATTTTTTAGTTAGTAATGCTGGACAAAAATACCATACATTTATCTAACAATCAATCGATTACAGATCGAAAACAATCAGATTTCATAAGGGCTTCGAAGCTCAAACCATTTTTGGTGTAAAGATGCATCATAACAGCAGGTTTGCCGCCATATTCTCAAAGATATTTACATTTCCAGACACCCAGATGTTTTAAAATAAAAATAAAAATAAAACTTTTCGTTGGTGAAACAGATCGATGGAATGTCTCTATATCCATTTATCCTTAAAAAAGAAATTCAGAGTTTTTATGGTTTTTCAATTTGTACCTGCAGATCATTTTCTCTTTAGTGATCATCGTTGCTTGGATGTTCATATTGATATATTGTAAATTTAAACTGGTGCATTTGAGTAATAAAACCTGGGATTAAAAAAGCTTGTGTTTAGACTTACTGCTGTGGGTGAGAGGTGAAAGGTCGATGGAGATGTCGTGCTGTTCGCTCGTCAGTTTGCAGGTGTGACTCTCCAGGTAGTCTCTGTGACAGGCGTACTCAGTCACCCACTCCACCTCGTAACGACAGTTTGACTCGGCCACCATCTTAGGGACGCTGCCCTGAAATGAGAACAATCAGGAGTTACCTGGAAGCAGAGGAGGGAAAAGTTCCCAAAAATGACACTCAAGTAAGAGTAAAAAGTATTTATCCAAGAAATTATTGGAGTAAAAGGGTATTGGTAAAAAGGCAACTAAACTTACTGAGTAACTGATCAGATTATGAATCATTTAATATTTAAAAATTACATCACATGGACCAAAATATTTATGTGGAAAATATGGTATTTTACAGTTCACACTGCAAAAAAAGAGAATCTTAAATAATTTTAGTCTAGTTTTTGGTACAAATATCTTAGTACACTTGAAATAAGACAAACTAACTTCCAGGTAACTTTTCAGCAAGATATATGAGCCAGTAATTAATTAATGTTGATGAAAACGTCCTAATTCCAATGGCAGATTATTTCACTTATAACAAGACATTTTTCCAATTTTACAAGTGAAAAAAAATCTGCCAGTGAAACGAGTCGTTTCTCATCAATATTAATAAGTTATTGACATGAAACAAGCTCTTACATATCACTGAAACATTACCTGTAACTTAGTTTTGTGTTATTTTAAGTGTACTAAAATAACAGTTAATTTCTGCACTAGAAATTAAAACAAAAATACTTGGTAAGATGTTTTTGCAGTGCATAATGAAAATAATTCATATAAGTCACAGTTACAAAACAACAAAATCAGGCAAAAGAAAATTTTCCAAATCAATTTCTTTCAGTATAAAACTTACGAAACTTTAACAAAAACTGCAGTGAAGTTACTTAGAGTAGGGAGAGTATTCAGAAATGTTACTCATGTAAGAGTAGCAACACTTCAGAATAAAGTTACACAAATACTCCTAAAACTAAGTTTTTTCCAAAACGTTAGTCCCCAGCTAATGCCTGGAAGCTGAAAAGCTAAATCTGAGAACCAGATGAGTCGATGGGTTAGCAGTGTTAGCACCATTAGCAGCTAGCTGTGGGGCTTACGGGATGGCGGCTTGAAGGACAGATGAAAGTGATGTTGACAGTCGGCCGGTGTTCTCCACATCTCTCTGGAGGCGTCGACTTGGCGCTTAATTCATACTGTAACCTCAAACTGGACAGAAAATTACCCAAGAAATTTAATTCAGTGTTTTTTTAAGCCAAAAACAATTAAATTGATCAACTATCTCTAAAACTTTCTGAAAAAGCAGCACGGTGGAATCGTTTCATGTTCAGTTTTAACAACAAGCAGGAGAAGAGCTGCAGTGATGAGAGACTTGCCTGTCGCTGGACACGGCCTCCAGCGGCCGGCTGGGAGCCCCCATGCTGAAGGAGCCTTGTCCGGTGACGAGGCAGGCTGCAGAGCCCTCTGGACACGACTTATCTGCAATGTCTGCAGGACAGAACAGAAGAACTGAAGTCCTACAGAGACCTGCGATAAAAATCTTACCAGCCTCGTTAATGAAACTGATCAGTTCAGCATCAGACGGGGAAATTATTGTCTCTAAACAGGAAACTCCTGTGGCATAATTTCAAGACTAACAAAAGATAGACACATTAAAAATAAATGATTATAATATAAATGATTAATTAATAGTAATCTCAATATTGGGTTGTAATGATTAAGTAAATAAAAAAGTATAAGACAAACAAGCATAACATCAAACTTTCACTCAGTAAAAGAAGATAAGGAATTAAATCAAAGTACTATTTAGTGACAAAAAAGTTTATTAATATTTCTGAAATTTAAATTGAAGGTTTTCACTTGACCTACATCAGAGGGGAACATAATGAAATCCAAACCCTCAACTTCCCATGACAGGGCATTATAGATAGAAAAAATAAATAAATTTCCATCCGAAAAATCTCAGAAAATTTCAGAAAAAGTCAAAATTTCAGAGAATTTGCAATAAAAAAAAAACTCAGAAATTTTGAGGTTAGTCTCAGGAAGTTTCTAGTAAAAGGTTCTGAAACGTGTACAAATATTCTTTGAGTGTTTGACCAACACTAATAATGCCACTACTTTCAGCAGCCAACATTGACACTGATTTTTTTTTCTTTTTTTTAACAGAGAAACGTACAGATGAGGTTTAGGGCCACAGAAAAATGTAGATTTTTTTTCCCCATCAGAATTTCATCTTTAAACTTCTGAGATCAAAAGTCAGAATTCAGAGAAAAAAGTCTATTCTGAGAAAAGAAGTCACACTGTTAAGATTAAAGTCAGAATTCAGAGAAAGAAAAATCTGAATTTTTTCTTCTTCTTGTATGGCCCTAATGCTCTTCCGTAGAAACTGCTTTAAAATGGCACGATCTTTCTAAATCTTTTTTTTTTTTTAAGGTTTTATTGGCTCTCGTGGCCTTTATTTGATAGTTGACAGGAAAGTGGGTAACGACAGAAGGGGAAGACATGCGGCAAAGGTCACCAGGCTGGGAATCGAACCTGCGACAGCCGCGTCGAGGACTGGGGCCTCCATATGTGGGTTGTGCTTAACCCCTGCGCCACCACAGCACACCCCGATATTTCTAAATCTAATCAGTTTTCACTCACTCAGGCTTCGGCAGATGTTGATGTAAAAGTCTAAGTCGTCGTCGTTGCCGTCGTCGACCAGGTAACCGTCCTCCACCTGGATCAGAGGGTTCAGGTCGTGCTTCTTACCGTCTGAGTCGAACACGTAGCAGGGAACCTAAACACACAGCAGGAGCGTTAATACCCCACTCAACAGAAACACAAACAGGAACTGGATTTTACATTAACGCTACAGGGAGAAAACAGGTAGGATTATTTTAGTTTGATTATTCTGATGATTAATAGGATAAAAACATTGGTACATTTTGCAGATTTTTCATTCACTCACTTAAGCTTTTTATACAATGTTAAAAATACATAAGAATCAAAATATTTAAGAAAATAAACACTTTAAAGCCCAAAAAGCAATACAGCATTCCTTTAGCAAAGTCTTGATCATTTGTACAAATAATCAAGCTAAAAAAATACTACAACATGTGAAAAGCCCAGGCCTTTCTGCTTGATTTATCAATACAATGTAGAGCAGGGCAGAGTCATCACAGTTAATCATGATTAATTGTTTGAGTCCAAACTGGTTGCAAATGTTGCGGTTACATCAGTGAACTTTTAACAGAAGTTCAAAAGAAAAAAAGAAGTAATTTGTGACTGAAATGCAGCGTAAATTCATTTCATGGTGACAGCATGTGACCAACTTTCTGCTGCGCAGCACAAACAGCAGCGCTTCATGAGATGTGGAAGCTTCACTTTCTGTCAGCTGACTAATTGTTTCTGCAGAAAGATGCGGTTTCCTTTTTCACTCAGAAACCTACAAGCAGGACCTGCAGTCAGGACTCCTACCTCTTTGTGTGGTTTGAATTTGTCCTTCTTGCAGGCAGCGTAGGTCTTCCACTCAAAGTAATGAACACATTCAGACAGCGCCACGAACTCTGGGGTGCCCTGTTAGATAGAAGTGTGAAAAAAAACTGTTTCGTTATAAACAAGCAGAAAACAACGTAAAGGACATCGGCTTTTTACTGAGTGGGTGACTTTTCGGAAAAATTCATAAGTTTGCTGTGTGACCTAAAGTACACGGAGTTTATCTGCTTTTACTTATTAAGAAACATCTTTTGAGCTTTATTTTTTAATAAACTTTTTCTGTAGCTATAATTTCCAGGTATATGTGAATATTTGAGCTCTGCAGCTCTTTGGTTGGATCCAAGCTCATCTTGAAGTTTGCAAGGTTTGCCACAAACCTACCATCACAAACAAAAACACAGTCTCCATTTTTTTTCACTTCTGACACCAAAATCTTAGGTTTAGTATCGACTGATATCAAATACAGAAAAACAGCTGAATTGATTTAAAACGTTCCTTTTTTAAAAAACACATATGAATGTACTCACAAACTAAACTGATAACTCTGTACCAGTACAGCTCACTTAAACACACCAATAGCTTCAGAAGCTTGGTCAAACATGCAAAAACAACTTTAATTTGTTCAGTCAAAGAAGTATATCAGCAAATGCAAAATAATAAAGAAACATCATTGCATTGAAAAATTGTGCAGAATCAAACATTGAAGCCCAACAAGAAAATAAATAAATAAAATGTTGAGACGCTGAACTTGGCTAGAAAGTTTGCCAGCATAATCTTCTCTTTTTATCATTTCATTGTTCTTTTTTTTATTGAGTTTCATTTCTTGTCAGACATAATGAACCTGCTAAGCCCCTCTTCTTCAGAAACAGAACCGATCTCATTGTGACTCGACAGGAAATGACATCACTACCAAAGCTACGGCAACTCTCCGTCTCTCTTTCACTCACACTCACACACTCACACACACACACACACACACACAAGACCGCAGAACAGCACACACCCTCAGAATTAAAGTGATCAGATCCAAATCAGCAGACACATGCTGCTCTGCATTCATTCTATACAGAATATATATGGTCTGGAATTTGCAGGAAGAAAGAGAAAAATTACATTGTATGATTTTTAAATAATTTGCATTTTGAAGCCTGGAATAAGTGATCGATTTCATGGAGAAAAAGAAAAAATATTTGGTACAGAAACTAACAAAAAAACGTGGCAAATTCAGATTTTGCACGTTTTTGTTCCTCTATTTGGGTTTCTGCTGCTTCTAAAAACACTTATTTCAACTTATTTGGCAATAACTTATGTTTTTTTGTGTGTGAAATTAAAAAAAAACTGATTGTAACGTCACAAATCATCAGGCACTGCGCTGTTACCTAGCAACTTCAGCAAAGTCTAGCCCGTTACCTAGCAACCCAGATGGAGCTCCAGCATGTTTGGTCAGCTGGTTTTGCCGCTGTATGCTCTGTACAGTGGCTGCTGAGCATCTAGAATTCCCTTGTTGGTTGTGTGGGAGGCCCCACTTTTGCTTTTCAAAGATGTACGGATGTATAATTGTGCGTGTTTGCTGCCATTTTCATGTGCAAACGTTGAGATGGAGGCGTAATATAATAATCCAACAGATTATATGGATTTAAAGTGCAACAGCTCAAATTAGGAAATGAGCAGCGAATAAAGTCTCATTATCTAAGAATGTTTTTGTGCAAAAAATTTAACGAACATGTTTTGCATAGCCAATAGGAAGAGTAGGTCACCTTTAAAGTGTTTTTACACCCCAAAAATTAAAATTATTATAATCTTTAAAGGCAAAATGTTACATTTTTATCTTTTTTATCTAATTTTGCTAACCTAACCTGTTCAAGGACGCATAATAAGGTTCCCTTTAAACTGAAATGCTGCAGAATTTGTGTTTGCATATTTGTAGACGTATTAAAACACATGCAAGGATTTTCTTTGGGCTGCCAGAACAAAACAGCTGCGCAGAGCAGGTGTTTGCTGACGTCAGGGAACAGATGAGAATAAAACACAATACCAATCAGTCACTTCCATGTATCCTGATTATTAAACATCTCCTGTTCAGGGAGAGGCCGGTCGCCGTCGGGCCGGTCCCCGTCGGGCCGGTCCCAGTCGGGCCGGTCGCCGTGGGTCTTACCATGGTTTTCCCACACTGGAAGTCGATGCTGGTCTGAACCGGGTTGGTTCCTCCAGGGCAGGTGTCAGTGGCGTTGTAATCCAGCACGGTGCCGGAGAGCTTCTGCAGGGAAAGGTCACCTGCAGAGTAAATGAGGAAAGGGTCAGAACGCTGTTTTATCTGCTGAAATCATTCATTTTCCCATTAGTTTTTTATCTCCAAGCAGACAGTTTGACAGATTAATGTCTCAAACTCCCAACCTCCACGTTTATTTTGACTGCAGGGTCAGTTTTCATTTTTCATGTCAATACTCGACCGGAAAGGAAAAACTGCCTGCTGTGGGAAAAGCTCAGCGCTGCCTGGATCTGAGTTTTAAAAACTGGCAGCAGGCCAGGGATTAAAAAAAAAAAAATATATTTGATATTTATTGGCTGCAAAGAATTTACAGACTGGTAAAAAGAAACCTGGAACACCTGAGCTTCATATGAGAGAAACCAAATGTTTTTCCTTGTGATTGAGTGAATATTTTCAGTGATTTTATGCGTTTATGTTTGTGTGAACTCTGGGTCAAGATAGGCTGCTATCACAAGACAACAATCAAAGCAATGTAACCGAGCAACCAGATGACCGACAAACCTACAAACTACAGGAGATAAGGAAGAGCAGTCGGCCTCTGCACGGAGAATCTGAAACCTAATTTAGCAACCCACCATATGTTATTATTAATATGTAACAATTTCAGGCATTTTTTAATATTCTGGTATCAGTTCAGTAAGGAAAACTGGACTTTTATTGCTTTATTTTAAAAGATTGTAATGAATTTAATATTTCCACATTGTTAATATCTAACTTTGCTGACATTCTTCTGTTACATTCTGGACCTAAATTCAATCAGTCAAGTTTATTGGTGTAGATTAGAACATTTCAGCAACCAGGCAGATCAAAGTGCTTTACATGATAAAAAAATAAAATAAAATGTGAACACAAATATTTCATAATGTCCAAGCTGAATAATTATAGTGATGAAGTAAAATTGTTTAATATTTGAATGCAAATAGAATTATTTTGTAAGAAAGATTGAATTAAAAATACACCAAAAAACTACATCCTTTGCAGAAAACGAGGAAGGTGCAACAAGATCACATCTAATGTGGAAGAAACACGATGCAAAAGTGATTAAAAGGTAAACAGAAAACCAGCTGGGAGAAATGAAATCATTTCCTATTCAGCCCGTTTGTTTTTGGAACGTTTTCTTTTTTAAAGCACAGCTACAGAAAAGGTTGCAACACGTTTTACAGAAACTGTTTGGCATGTTTCGACCTGAGGGTATAAAACATGTAGCTTAAAGTCTCTGTGTGGATTTTACTTCCCTGAGTTCTGAGAAAAGTCACGTTCTCACTGTTAGTTTAACTTCTCTAATTTAGCCTTTGGAATACAATGAGTCAGATAATTTAGCGGCTAATCATAGTAAAGTGCTGAGCAGATAAAGCCTCAAGCTAGCAGCGCCGTGTCTGTGTGAGCTGCTGATGCGTTCAGGGGTCATGTGAGAAGTCAGTCACAATTATTTAACTCCAAATCATCTGACCTCTCTGCTGCTTGGTCACCACTTACTCATTCTTCCTCTTTGCATAAGAGCACTTCCTCAATGCACTAAAATAAAGCTATAATAAAAACCAACAATTGCACAAGTTTTCACTTGTTTTTAAACGTGTGTTGTCTTTAAAGCTACACGGCTCCTTGTTGCAGCCGGGACTCTGATATCAGATATTCAACAAGGGGACTTTTGTGACCTCCGGCTGCAGGACAAGCTGTTGTTTTAGCCTGAAATAACTCTGTCTGGCAGCCAAAGAGGTCAGCAGAAGAATAAAGGAAGTCTTAGCTGGCCTGAGAATGAGTGAGACATTAGCTACAGCTTTCTTATTTACATTTTTATTTAGCTCAGACATATTTTAAAGTCAGGTAAAGAAACACTGAATGACTTCATTTATCAAAGAGATTAAATTTAAATAAATAAATAACTTTATGTATCCTAAAATTAAATGCTGTCATAACTAGCTTGGCCTGACACAATACATTTACAGGACGATAAATTGTCCCAGAAATTATCGCAATAAATGATAAAATTGGTGTTTCAATACCATTTTCAAATATAAAGAAAATAGCATAATAATACAAGATCAATCAACTTTAATTTTGTAAAGAACACTCCACACTGCAACTTTAAGATATTTTAAATATAAAAAAATAAAACTCAACAACCAAAAACAATAAATAAAAATGAAACAAAACAGAACTGAAACCAAAAAGATTAAACAAAACTTCCCTTCACAAAATATTCATCATCAGAATGGAAACCACCAAACTCATTTTAATTTGTCAACTCATAGACATTGTGGATGGAGTAGCTGTCAGTGTTGCAACTGCATCTGCAGAGGCCTCTGACTGAAGATTGTTGGTGAATGACAGTCTCATGACTAACAGCTCAATACCTGAGCAGCAGAGTTAATATTCCACAGAAACACACTTTGGATGACACAATCAGTTGTTAGCAATCTGCTACTCCAGCTCCTTTGCTTTTGCCGCTCCTCTAAATCTGACTGAATGGTTAGAAAACCAAGTGAAGAGGCAGCAGAGTGGGGGAAAGGATTTTTACTCATTATGCATCTGCATCCATGAAGCCTCCTTTCCAACTCCTCTGTGATTTGAGGTCGCAATTCAGGTGTTATTAGAGCTTTACAGATGCTAATTAGCTGCTCTCAGTTGTAAAACCTTGTTGCTATGGTTACACATTATAACAACTGTCTGAAAGTTAAAAAAAAAAAAGAAGGAGGAGGAAAAATCCTCCCAGCTGCACAGCCAGAGGGAATAATTATCCAAACATAGAACACCTAAAAAAAGTAAACAAATGTTTAGGAAAAGAACAAATGAGAACAAACGTAGCAGCGATGCTCCAACATGCTGCCACCATCAGCGCTGCAGTTCTAGAATAAAAAATAAATAGATTTGGATTAAGTTATCCAAACCTAACTGGCCCAGTGGGAAACAGTAAATGCCTCCTAAACTACAATTGTAGTAGTTTAGTAGTTTCACTCTTACTCAGAGTGAAACCAAAATGTAGTTCAGAGCGAAAACTGAATTAATTTTTCTAAATGGGTTCATTCATGCAACAGAAGGGGCGTAACATCCTCCTTTAGGAAGAAAGCAGGGAAAATTAAGTAAATAATTCCTGAAAACATACCAGTTCAACTAGCAGATTAATTTTCTTATAACAAGGGAACAATATCTTTTAGTAAGTAAAATAATTGGCCAGAGCAAAGTCTTTTTCATCAATATTAAGGAATTATTTACTTAAAATAAGCTGCTGACAAACATGAGAAAGAGGAGGAGGAGGAAGAGGGACTCTGCCTGTTCAGCACAGAGATCAGATCTCTGATGAAGCACCAACAAACTGATCCATACAGCATCAGATCAATAGTTCAGTCAGCAATAAAACCTCCTGTTGTCGACAGCAAGACTGAAGAGCGCTGTGAGGTTGAGGCGGCATGAAAAACATAAAAACATCAGTTTTACCTCACGCTCAGTGAGGAGCACAGCATGAGAAAACGCTGAAGCGATCAAGATTAAGGAAGAGGATTAACTGCAAGGTTTTTATGCTAATATTATTCTAACAAAACTCCCATTTCATGTTTCCTGCATGTAAAAAGTAAAGATTTCTGCCTTTCTGTGACATCAAATGAGAGTTTTTCTATGGGAAGATGAGAAATTTCTGAAACAAACAAAGCATCTGGGTATGAAATATCATCATAATATCATCATTAAAATCTATTTAAATTCAATTGTAAATCTGAATTTAAATATGTGAAACAGGTTGTGGTCAATAATTTATAGATTATATTAGAAGAATAACATTTTAATATTTTGAGAATAATGTTGTAATACAACAACTTTATTCTCATAACATTTTTTGTACGATTTTATTCTTGTAATATTCCAACTTATTTTTTCTTTCCTTGATGTGATCTCTGTTGTATCAACCATAATATTTTGGATAAAACAAAAACGAGAAGGTCGTCTTACATCTGCATTTTTTCATTAATCTATTGGCGTCTGTTAAGTTTCAGTCATTAAATAAAAACATTCAGGAACTCCTTAAACACTTAAAATTGTTTCAGTTTAAATAAAAAATACAGAAAAGTTTTAAAGTTTTAATATCAACTGATGTTTTACAGAACGTTGCTTTGATATTTCGATTGAATTTTAATTGCCGTAATCTGTCTATATGACTGGAGTGAAGATATTTCTGGATATGAAGTGGAGCCGTTTCCTGTTTAATTATATTCATCTGAATTAAAACAACAGCTTCAATGACCAGTCAGAACACGGATCGATCTGGGTCAGATGTAAGGCAAACTTTTCCGTCGTATAAATATGAAACTAGTCCTGCTTCATTCATCAACCCTGCTGTGAAGGAACCCTTTTCTTTTTCACTAACAAGGCTGTCATCTCGGTTTGCCTCGGGGGTGAATGACGGATCCTGACTCGATTAGCAGCTGTGACTCCTTTCAGGACATATCAGGCTTTATTTAGCAGAAACAGTAAAATCCTACTTAAAATAGGCCAGTAACGTCCAACTATCTGACGGTTTTTCACAAATACTGAACTTAAAATGTTATGAAATTCAAATAAAACTGCCAACTCAAGCAGATGCTTGGTGGTTCTAGACTTTGACTTCCTAACTGCAATACCTTTGCAGAGTTTAGGCAGTAATTAAAGTTCTGTTTTAAGTGAAACTTTATTAAATTTAAGGTTTGAGTTTGATGAAAACATCTTTGAAAAAGAAAAATTTTGACACATTTAAGACACTAAGTTGACATCAAGTTTTATTGTTGTATTTGCAAATTCAAGTTTTCATAAAGCAAATCTATGGAGAGCAAAGAGTGCCAAATTACAGCAAGTAACTTATGACAATTATTTAAATGTATCATTAATTTACTAAAGCTGGAATTAAATAGAGAAATTATTTATTAAATATAGAATTGATCAAATGTGTCAAGAAAACACTGTGGAGGAAGCTGCCACAGAGTTCAGACATTATTAACGTTGGTCCCGCCCACTAGCTAGCACAGGCTAACCCTTTCTAATCCCACCCTCTGAGTTTTGATGGGCAAAGTTGACAGTTTAAATTAGGGCTGAAACGATTAATCAGATTAATCGATTATTAAAATAATAATCGATTAATCATCAACTGGAGAATACGCATTCAAAAAAGCCATTTGGTGAAAAAAAACCCTACATATTCAGAGCAGGAATTAAACCAAAACAGTACAAAAAATTACTTAAATAATCTATGGTTGCAGCCTTAGTTTAAATTCATTAATTATGTGCTACAGTTATAGAGTACGACATAATATATTTAATGATGAAATAATTATGTCTAGTCTTAAAAATTAAATGAATAAATTTAATTGAGGCACATATAATTGCATATTTAATTCTGTATTTATTTATTTAAAAAATTAATGACATTTAATTATTTCATACGTCAATTATTTCTTGTAATTTGGCACACTTCACTCTCCATAAGAACATGGCTTAAGGGATATCTGACAAAGCTATGACCTAAATTAACCTCTGACCTACAAGGTTCAACCAAATGCAGACACGTTTCATCGTAGTTCAGTCCGATATACCACCAAACAGAACCACAGCGCTTTCTTCCTCCTTACTGAACTGTACTCACCGACTGAGTGTTTGTCTTCGCCGCTGAGGCTTTGGGCGCAAACTGCAGTGCTGGACCCACAGCTGGTCGGTGGTGAAGACTCACAAAGCTTTATGGTGTATTTCACTTTATTGTCCAGGTCTACAGCCTCCCATTTATAGCTGAAAGACAGATAAGACAGAGTTAATTAAGAAAGAATTGAAATCAATATTTAGTCCATAAAAATGTGAAGAAAACATCCAATTTCTTCAATAAAGTGTTCTGCAATTAAAACGGGATTGAGGTTAATTATGGATTTTTTCTTTAGTAAAGTGACAAAACCAGGAAACAAACAGCAGCCAGTGTGAGCATTCAGGTAACTGGTTATCATTTCTGTCTTATTACTGAGTCAATATTTAGACAACAGCTGCACTAACAGAGCTCCAGTGAAGAAAAGCTAATATTTAGTCTCAGATGTGTTGCATCTTTTCTGCTGACTGCAATAAAAACACAACGCAAAAGCCTAAAAACGTCCCACGTTTCCCTTCAAAGTACTTCTGTAATCATTTTCAAAACTGACTTTTTAGTGATTTTATGTTAAATGTTTTACTATAGAGTAATTTACACTGATGGGAGGAACCAGCGTTTCATCTTTTCTAAACTAAATCTGAGTGCACTTTGCCACAGACACCTAATTTATTGTCACCATATGATAACATCTCTAAGAAAATACCACAATGTTAGCAATGCATACAGTTGTATTATTTATACCTGAACACAAACAATTTTTTAAATTTTACACATCTGAGCTTTGTGTTTGGCTCTTGAGCAAACAAATAAAGTGACGCACATAAAAAAATGCATTTTTAATGTAAAAATAAACCATCTATTGCAATATTATTTTTGCGTATTGTGTTGCAGCCATGAAAGTACATGAAACTTTCCAAATAATTTCCCGGCATGCGTCGCATCAAATCTGTACTTTGCATCCTGTGCAGGACCTTCTTGCTGCAAGGCAGCAGTGCTACTGTGCAGTTTGTCCGCCATCATGTCAATTAACGCAGGATGATCAGCACCTCTTGTGATGTCATCAACAAATACGCAAGAACAGAGTCAGAAGTTTAATATCGATTGATTTTCGATTTATATTTTCTGTATTAAAATGTCTATTAAATTAGGTTTTTCTAGATTTATAAATATCTGGAGAAAATATGGCAAAAGTAAATTTACTACCCAGGAACTACAGATTTAGCACTTTAAAATGTGCTCGGAAAATGTGGTCAATCTGTTCCTTTCAGCTCCCACCAGCACGCTTTTGTCAAACAGCAGAGCTTCTGCGTCAACCTTCGCTGCCATCTCAACCCCTGGTGTCCAGTTTAACCGACTGAAAGCGGTATCGCCGAAGCTAAAAGTTGGTTCTGTTACGAAAACAAAGAGCTGCTTTTAGCTGGGGATAAATGTCAAAGGTGCTGCGATGCTAGCAGATGAACGAGTCTGGGGAAAAGCGATTTAGCGTTAGCTAACACACAGATAACCCGGTTTAAATGGCTAGCTGAGGGGTTTAACTAGGAAATAACGCTGTTTAATGCGTTGTAACGTCTGTCTGTTTCTGGAGGAGGTGTGCTTGTTACCTGCAGAGGTCCTGGTACCACAAGCTGCTGCGGACCTCTTCTGCTCCAGACCGAACCAAAAAACATCCCAAACCGATGCACAGCCACAGAGCCAGCCTCAGAGGCCGGCGTTGAGTCGGTTTATCCCGGAAAAACATGTTTCTATTCAGCTGGACCCCGAACGTGGAACTGAATTAAGACGACATGATACAGCAGAGTATCGGCTCTGAACCGAATCAGTAGGAAGTGACTGAATCACATGACAGGACGTCACATGACTCGGAGGGTGCTGACTGCAGAGGCGTTTGCGGGCAGTAGGAAAACTAATTTCCAATCCACTAAAAGCACAAATGTCACCATATCCACTTCCGCATGGCGTGTTGAGTAATTTTAGAATTAAAAATAGCATTCATAGATCGGTTAGTCCTCTTGTGTTGGTATTTGGCTAATATCTCTCATGGACATAACATGTTACAAATTGATTACAACTAGTTTGATTGACAGTAAAATCTATAAATAATGTAAACAATTAATGAGACCACTGGTCGTTAATGGTCCCATAAAAAATTAGAAGAAAATATCACAATAGCTTAAACGTTTAAGTAAAATTAATGAAAACAACAATTCAAGTCTTATTATAACTACAAGTAATATTTAGACTAAGGTTTGTAAATAAAGACAAATAATTCAAATTGAAATGAGAAACATTTTCTCTATATTCAAACCCACGTACACATTACGCATCTTAAATAAGAGTTAAGTAAAACCCTTGAATAAAAAGAGATATGGTAGTAGATAGAATGGAAATAGATATTGAATCTATTTTCTTTACAGTAACTTTTTAATTGTGATTTTATTTTCGCCTTTTTATACTGAAATTAATATTGCAAATAGCATAAACAGCAGTGACAGTTTAAAAGAAGAAATATAACTTGGTTTAGTTCTTTAAAGTGTTCTATGGCTATGTGGGACAGTAACAAAGATCAACCGTATGAAACAAAAAATGCATTTGTTTCCAAATCAATGACTTTTGAAAGCTAAATAGGATTCAGGATTCTTGGCAGAAAACATGTTGTAAATCATAGCATAACTTTAAAATCATTTGACATTAAATTATAACAAAAAAAATCTAAAGTTTAGCCAGTATTTGCTGTTGTCTGTAGTTCCTGAATGCAGCATGAATGAAACTCGTTTATTAATGTACATTCATGGAAGGACTGCCTTATTTCACTCGGACCCTTTAAAACGCACTCTTAGCAGCAGATGAAGGCACATTTTTTAGAGGTTGACGCTTCTGAATGAACGCCACAACAGGTTGAGTTCTCTGCCGCCATCTAGCGGCCATCTTGCAGAAACACGCTGTGCCAAATGGCATAGCTAGACTTTCTAAACAGCCTTGAAGTTCTTTTTGAATTGCATTGTTATTGTCTCCATAGAGCAGCCAAAGTAGTTGGCTGCTCTATGGAATAAAACACTACAATCTACTTTTAAAAAATGTGTTCAGAAACATTACATCATTTCCTTTAAGTTTTAGTTGAAATTTTTGTTCTGCAAGAAAGGATTTACATGTTAGAGAAAACAATCTTTGTCTCAGAAGTGTTGTATACAGGCAGCTTATAACTCATGATGCTCTGAGTTATTTTGATTCACTTAAACAGTAAATTTTAATAAAACACACAATTTATAAGTTAAAAGCTAGAGTTAGCAAAAATTACCTATTTGTCATCTGGTTATGATATGAAACAAAGAATGAGACTTAACACCCAACACACTAAAAAGACAAGCGATTACTAAGAAAGTAGACAATAAAATAGATCAAAACAGATGCAATTTCTTTAGTTTTGACAAGTGAATGAATAAATAACTGATCATGTCACTCAGATTCTTGACTGATTTATATAGTTATTCTCCACCTTTTTTTATTAGCCTCTTAAAAAAGGCTTGTTTTGTTTATTCAGGTTACATTTGTTTTATATTAAAATTCAATTTAAATATTTATAAAATATAACAGAGAAAGCATGTTTATATCTCTGCATATTTAAGAGCTTTATGCTTCAGCTTTTTGTTATTAAAAGCCTTCCAGGCGTCGTCATCAGATCTGCTTCTCGGGAACTGATGACTCTGACATGGTCCAGACAATTGATGCCGCATTTTGTGAGTAGGTGGAGCTCAAAGAACTGACAGCTTGTCAACAACTCGCTGAAAGACAAGACCTCTGCATAAAAGGACAAAACTACTTTTATTCTGAGTACTTTATACAAAGGTAAGACAAAATTATCTGTTTTTACTTTGGAAATTAAAGGAAAATGTTTAATTTTTTTGGTCTAATTTAAATTTTTCATGTAACAAACAAGAATAACATCAAATCTGGAATAAGTCGATTCACTTTTAGCATAAATGATGCCTGTGCTGATTATCACTGTGTTTGTGAACATCAGTTTGAATTGCAGCAAATATTTTCAGCTAATGGATAATTGATGCACTCTCACCCTTCTCTCGCTGCTGATGGGTCAACAAAGTGTCGGGTTTGTTTGGCCGTCTCAGATTTACAACCGGAATGCTTCAGCTCACACAAGTACAAGCAGCCAGGCCGGGTTAAATGTTAACTGCATGTTTGTAAATGCTGAATGCAGCTGAACATTTATGAGAGCTTTAAAATGGTACCCAGAGGAACGTCTGCGCTGTTTATTTTTAACCCGACTACTTGCTAATAACTACCAGATGTTAAAATTCCAACAAATTCTTGATTTCAAGCCAAAGAAGGAGCATCTTTAGCTTACACTTTTTTTAATTATGGGCTTAAATATGTATATCTGAACAATCCTGCACTAAAAAAACATGTTTAATATGGGAGTGTGTCTAATGTTCTGAACTTAGCTGCTCCTTGCTGCAGTTCCTGAAGCTGCATGGCTGCGTCGCTGGTGTTCAGGCTGCATGATCGAGGTCCACAACTGGTAAGTATGATGGCTTATTAAGGCCACTGCAGATAGAAAAAAAAGAATGAGAAAATCTTTGAGAAAAATCTCAGGAATTCTGTGATTTATCTCAGAAAGTTTCAAGAAAAAACTCTGAAATTTCTGAGTGTGAAAAGTAGAAAATTTGCAAGAAAAATTCAAAAATTTGAAAGGTTTTGGAAATTTGAAAATTCTGAGATTCATCTCAGAAATCTTCTAAGAAGAAAGAAGAAAAGTATCCTGAGTTTGAAAAGTTGAACATTTCTGACTTGTGGAAAATTTGAGTTTTAAAAGTTGAGAATTTTTTACTTCAACTAAAAAAATTCGGACTTTTTTCTAGAAAAAAGGTCAGAAATGTTTGACTTCTCAAACTCAGAAATTTCCATATTTATTCTAAAATATTTCTGAGATTAATCTAAAATTTTCTTATTTTTTCTTGCAAATTTTCAGTTTTGCAGCTCAGAAATGTTCTTGTTTTTACCTGAAAATTTGAGAGATTGAGATTATTATGAAAATTTATTGGATTTTATTGGAAATGTAATCCTTTTTTTCTATTTACAATGGCCCTGACACGTTGTCGTAGGTGAGGGAAGTGCTCCTGGAACGAGGATGGAAAGAATATGACAAACGGAAACGCGAGGACAGAGACTGGAACCTTTACTGGAGGAGGTCAGAGTTTCACAGCTCAGAATATCACAGCCTGCTGCCATGGCAACGCCTCAATCACCATCCCAAAACTGCCGGCATCACGCGAAAGGTGATGCTTTGATATACAATTACTTTTATTTTGCATAGATAACATTTCCACATTTCCACTAATTCACCTGTAGGTGTAATATTAAAGTGACCCAACAGAACCAACAGTCTTTCTATAGATACTCCGTCTGTACAACAGAATTATTGATACAAAAAGGGGAAAGACAAGAGTTTTGTTGTTAACTTACCATACAGAAACCACTTGCTACATTCTTGTTGATTGTGCAGGAGGCTCCACTTCTGCTTTTCAAAGATGTACAGCTATATAATTGTGCATCTGATTCTTATTTGGATTTAAAGTGACAGAGACCCTAAAACAGCTCAAAATAGGCAGAACTGGGGAGATTAAAATCTTATCTAAGAATGATTTTGTGCAAAAATAATTAAAAAAAGTAATGAACATATTTTGTTTAACCCACAGGTCTAATCTCACCTTTAACAATTTCATTATGAGTTTAATTGAAAGTGAAATAAAAACATGTTTTTATTTCTAAAATGTGTTTATTTGAAATATACCCAGATATAGAATTAATTAGCTTTACAAATTGCTTTTTTACAAGCTGCTGTTCGTTTGAACAAAATTATAAAATGAAACAGAACAGAAATTATGAAAAACTAAATTATTCTCTCTTAACTTCTTTGGAAAGGACTCATTGGTACGCAACCTGAGGAGAATGAAGGCAACATTTGGTTCAGCTCTCTACAACTTCAGTCCGACAACCTTCATCCTTCCCAACGAATACACCAGTTTCCTGGCTGAATACAACAAACTGCTTCCTAACAGAGAAAGATCAGTTTGCTGGATTTGTAAACCCGTTGACCTCTCCAGAGGTCGAGGTATTTTCCTCTTCCGGGACATAAAAGACCTGGTCTACAACTGCTCTGTTGTGGTGCAGAGGTACATCAGCAACCCGCTGCTGATATCAGGGTACAAGTTTGACCTGAGGATTTATGTGTGTGTGAAAAGCTTCAATCCACTTACTGTTTACATCCACCAGGAGGCGCTGGTGCGCTTCGCCACAGAGAAATACAACCTGTCCTCTCTGTCTAACGTGTTCGCTCACCTCACCAACACCAGCATCAATAAGCGCGGTCCCTTCTATAAAACCCAGAAAGGACAGGTCGGTTCAGGGTGTAAGTGGACGATGAGCAAGTTCAGGTATTTCCTCCAGAACCAGAACATTAATGAGCCGTTTCTGTGGCAGAGGATTAACAACATCGTCACGCTGACGCTCCTCTCCATCACTCCGTCGGTACCGGACTGTCCGAACTGCGTGGAGCTTTTCGGCTTTGACATCCTCATTGATAGTAAGTTCAAACCCTGGCTTCTGGAGGTCAACCACAGCCCCTCACTGACTCTGGACTGCCAGACCGACTTATCAGTGAAGAAGGGGCTGATCAGTGATCTGGTTGATTTGATGAATTACACACCTATTGATGGTCTAAGATACAAAGCTTATCAGACACAAAGAAATGTCCAAACTAGCTTCAATGCTAACATCTCAACACCTGTTCCTTCACTCCCCAAGTTGAAAGACAGCAACTTTCAACAGAAAAATGAAAAGTCCTCTAAACATGAAAAGACAAAAAGACACCTTCCACCCATTGAGACTTTACACTGGATACTCGGCTCATACTCAAAGACGAACGTGGTGAAAACAGGTCTTTCATCACGCCAGATGAAATATGCTCCTCAGGTTACAAACCGAGACGACGCTGAAACACAAGATGAAATGGAGAACGAGGTTTCCTCTTCGGTGCTCGGTACTCAGGGCAAAAGGTCAACATTCAGACCATCTACAGATTCCTGGAGGCTTCCAGATATCTACAGGTATACGTTTTTCTTCTTACTACTTCATACTTTGAGTACCAATAGCCAGACTTTCTCGTAATCTGCAGATTTATTGTCCTGGATTTCAAAATGTCGTTGGAAGTTTTTTGGGGGGACTTTGGCTGCTTTTAGGGCGTTTTCCAATCTGCTAGTCTGGTAGTTCACACTGCACTGCGTCAAACCCAACCTAATTGAAAAACCTGTTCCCCTCCTCACCTATGGGGGCGCTGCAACAAGAACCACTGAAGCAAATGACACTAAAACCTCAGTAGAAAACAAGAGCGCAACTTCCTTCTTCACAAAATGTAAACAAAAATGGAACAAATGTTAGCAGTTGTAGGATTTCTTTTTGTCTCTGCCTAAATAGCGCAACCCATTTCTCCTGATAGGGCTAGGCTAGCATATTTGTTTTGGTTGCATTTACCCAGAATAAGTAATAAGTACCAAAGGAAAGAAGAAAGAAAGACAAGAAGTAAATGGAGGAAGGAAAAAATAAAAGGAAAGAAGGAAGAAAGGGAGTAAACAAATGTAGGAAGGAAGGAGGAAAGGAAGGGACGAAGGAAAAATAGAAATAAGGAGGGAAGGAAGAAATAAGTTCTAAAGGTAGGAAGAAAGAAAAGAAAGAATGAAGACTGACAAAAAGGGAGTTAAAGGAAAGGAGAATTGGCCTGCAGAGAACAAGTCTTAAACGAAGGAAAGAAAAATAAATGAAGAAAGGAAGGAGGATAAAAAAGGAAGTAAACAAAGAAAAAAAGAAGGATGGGAGGAAAACTACTATTCTAACTTGAGTCAAATTTATACTAATTATGAATAAAAAAAATTAAATATTAAAAGATTTCAGCCAAATTAAAGCAGAAAAACAACCCAATGAATAAGTAAAAGTAAATAATTGATCCTAGAAAAACTCACTCTTCCATATATAGATATAGTTCCATATATAACATTGTTCACTTGTTTATCACACTACGTCCAATAAAGTCAAACTCAACTCAAATGTTGCTTCACAGAAAACGTCAGAGGCTCCATGTTCAGGAAGTGAAGCCTCCGATTGGTCAACATGTTCCACCAATCAGAGCTGGAGGCTTCATTCGGACTTTCCCATTTAACCCGGCAACACTGAAGGCTTCCCGGGTTAAACTGGACGTCCCAGTCGTCTTACAGGAGCTGCAGAAGCTGACGGCTCGGGTGGCTTCAGGCCGACTGGAGGAAACGACAGGAGAGGGAGAGGAGGAGGATGAAGACTGCTTTGATTCACTGCTGTGGGGGCCAGAAGACCCCCTGCTGCTCAGTCAGTGGTTCAACACCAAAACATAAAAGATACCTGATCCAAGACACAGAAATGATCAGGTGGAGCTTTGGCAACACAAGCATTTCTGCAGAACTCTGACTTGTTTTTATTTAAACTACAGAAAGAAGGAAGGAAGGAAGGAAGGTAGGAGAGAAGGAAGGAAGGAAGGAAGGTAGGAGGGAAGGAAGGAAGGAAGGAACCCGCTGCTGATATCAGGGTACAACTTCTGGTTGTTCGGAAGGTTGGAAGGAACGAAGGAAATAAGTAAGAAAGTAAAAAAAAAATAAAATAAAACTCATCCAAGAAACAGAAATGATCAGATTAAGTAATTGGGAATATTAGATGAAATTTGCTTCAGTGAAACTCTTATGTTGTGTTTTTGTATGTTTTTTATTACATGTTATTAAACGACTAAAATGTTTTGATGAAACCAGGAAGAACACCAGGAGGTCAGCTGGTTCTTTTGTTTCCTCATTAATTATTCACAGGGTGCTTAAAGGCCTCTTAATGGGAAAAAGAAACAAACACAAAACCTCAACAATGAGATTATCAACTGGAACATGATGCACATAAAGAATCCATTAAGTAAATCCAGTTAGCATCTTCTATTTCCTGAATTTCATATCATTTTAGTGCTTTAAAAATGTTCTAATCTATTTTCCAAAGCCCTGATTGATATTTATGAGGATCAGAGATTAAACTGAGAGCCAGAGGAGGGCAGCAAGTCTCACTTTCGACCGACTGATGAAGTTAGAGCAGAAAACAATTTCAGATGATTTACACTGAATCTGAGGGGGAAAATATCAGAGAAATTAAAGTGGTTTGATAAAATCTCGTTAGCATCTAATTGACCTCTTGATGTAAAGTGAGAGTGTTTTGTGTCAAAGTTTCCACTTAGTAAATATTGATTTATACAGCTCGGTTATGAAACACAGAAGACTGGAGGAAGGGATTTAGGAGCATTTCTTCAGAAAGTGATGACATGAAAGGGAAGGAAATGTTTCAAAATAAAAGGAATAAAGAAAAGAAAATTTTATAAAACAGGGAGAAATGAAAGGAGTAAAAGAAGATAAAGGGAGGAATGAAGGAAGAAAGGAGATGAGAACAAGACAGAAAGGAGAAAGGAAGGAAGAAGGAAATACTGAAGGAGAAAACAGAAAAGGAAGGAATGAGTAAAGGTAGGAAGGAAAAATGAAATGAATGAAGGAAGAGGGGAGTGAACAAAGGAAGAAAGAAAAATGAATGAAGGAAAATGTGATGGACGAAGGAAGAAAGAAGAGGGAAAGAAAGGAAATAAGGAAGAACTAAGGAAAGAAGGAAGAAAGAAAACAAAGGACATAGTAAAGAACGAAGGAAGGAATGAAGTGTCAGGGTTCCGGTGTGTGTGTGAGTGTGAGTGATGCATCTGTTCCAGTGGTTCCCATTAGGCTCAAACTGGGAGTTTAACCCAGGCTGTCCACTTCAGACAGAGTGAAGCTGAACAAAATCAAATTCAAAAAGTCAGTGAAATCTTCCCGGAGGAAAAGCTCAAAAATGCTCCCTAGTGGCTGGTTGGTGGAACTACACAACTGTACATAGCTGTACATTACACAAAGTAAAATTTCTGCCTCCTTAGACTCTGATTTCAGTTTTTTTTCCATCTTTCGAAATCCTCCTTGTCTTTCTAGCTGTTACTGGAAACACAATCTCCAACGGTTAAACGTCACCATTACACCTGAGGCATAACGACCTGATAGTTGTTTCCCAGAAGGAGGAAGGAATCCAGCCACGCTAAGCTGAAATTTACTGAAGAACAAACCCCCTGAGGCGTTAGGTGTCTAATAGTCGTCTCCTGTTGATGCGGTTGTTCGGAAAATAAACGAGATAAAAGGTCATTTACAGTTTGTGTAATGTACAGCTATGTACAGTTGTGTAGTTCCACCAACCAGCCACTAGGGAGCATTTTGAGCTTTTCCTCCGGGAAGATTTCACTGACTTTAAATCTTTTCTCTTGTCTGCTTGTACTTTCACACAGAGACAGAGTGGGAGTTGGTGTGTGTAAATGGAGCACAGAGTTACGCCATGATGGATTTACCCACCTTGTGACAGATGATACATGATATCATCTTCCAGTTTTGGTCAAAGTGAAATCTAATGTTGCGCCACTTCACAAAACAGGTCCATAACTGTACCTGTTTATATTTACACTGGGTAATAGGGTCATATCAATAAAAAAAAAAATTACAAGAATAAAGTTAAAATAGTATGAGAATGAAGTCATAATTTTAAGAAAATAAAGTTGAAATAACAGGGGGATAAAGTCATAATAAATGAGAATAAAGTTATATTTCGAGAACAAATTCAGGATTACAAGAATAAAGTCAGAATATTATGAGAATAAAGTCATAAAAGAATAAAGTTTTTGTTTAAATCAAATAAAAAGAGAGAGAGAATATATATATATATATATATATATATATATATATATATATATTTTTTTTTTTTTTTTTTTTTTTTTTTTGAAAGATGCTCATCTCGTTTCCTTTCAGAACAAAATTACTTGGTTTCATGAAATTAATGTTTAAATGTAAATCTAACCTAAATTACTCTTTTTCTGTCTGGCTTATTTTAATTAGCTCTTGGGTGCCTGTTGGATCCTAAACAGCATTTCATTTAATGGATATTTACATCATTAAGTATCTGGCATCTGCCAGTAATCCCTCCTCTTCCTATGACACATTCTGGTGTTTAGGTTAAAAGTGGAGCTGCCAGTCATTCTCAATTTGACAGGCATTTAAGGGAATTATGGGACTTCAGGCTAGAACTTGTCCAAGTCGGTTCCCACAATAAAAAAAGAAATGCATACGAACTTGTCTCACATGTGCGCCAGTGGTAATAATCTTATTTTAACTACAACAAAGAATTTATTACATTTGAACCAATACATTTGTTAAAATGTTCTGTTTTTAATTTTAAAAAATTGAAATATCTACTCCATTTGAAAGTCTGAAGTGGGTCCAGAAAGTATCCATTCACTGCAAAAACACAAAATCTTACCAGGTATTTTATGTTCAGTTTCTAGTTTATTTTTAGTCAGTAATTCCTCAGTTCCTTACTGGCAGATTATTTCATTTATAACATTAATTAACAGATTATTAGTGAACTAATCTGCCAATGAAACTAGAACTGTTTCATCAATATTAAGAAATTATTTACTTAAAACAATCTTCTATATATGGCTGAAAAGTTTCTTGTCAGTTACTTTTGTCCTAAGATTTTTGTACTAGAAACTAGACAGAGTGCTTGGAAAGTTTTTGTGTTTTGCAGTGTTGTTATTGAAACTCACAGCTCTGGAACACTGGTACCAGTTCTGACATGTCCATGAAGGGGCGGGCGGTGTGCTGACAGGAATCCTGAAAGGAGCTTTTCAGCAACACAGCAAAACAATCAGGCACGACTCCAACGCAGACACAGTCAGTGATGTGTAGCAGTTAAGAAAGAGTTCGTAAAACTTGTCTTTTAATAGGCCAGTGTGAGATTTATTGTTGTAAAACAGGTTTGTGGTTTCATTATCATCAGCTTAAGCTGTCTTGTAAAGTGGAGGAAATATTTCTACATCTAATGGATGAGCAGAACTGGTTTTAGCACATTATTTTGAATAAACCCTGTGTAAAGATCAAACCTAGTCATCATCATAGGTTATTTCAACCTCTTAATATGTTTTGTTTAACTTACACTAACATTAAAATGATTTATGTCATGCTCATAATCAAAAAAGGTGGTCAACATGAAGATAAATTCAGCTTTGAATAGACTTTAAAATACTTCTGTCAGTTTATTCAGTCACTGAATGGCTTAGCACCAAAATACACTACAGACTTCTCGTATCAATCTTCCTCAAACACGAAGCAGCAGCATTCGGTTTTTATGCTGCTCCAATCTGGATCAAACTTCCAGAAAACTGCAAAAGTGCTGAAACACTGAGTTCCTTTAAATCAAAATTAAAACCCATGTTTAGTAAGATTAATAATAACTGGAACTTCAATGCAAAAATACAAAATCTTTCCAAATATTTTTGTCTATTTTCTAGTGTAAATATCTTAGTTTTCTGGATACAAGACAAAACTAAGTTAAAAGTAACTAGCACTGAGGATTTCAAAGTCCAAATCTCTGAAGAGGAAGAGAAACTACCAGTGCCGGATAATCCACTTCTTGTTTTTGCCGTACTTCCTTTTGTTTTGCTAATCACTCGCCTACCTGTCTTTGTTTGCTGAATCAAGCCAGAAAGACGATCCCAAGAAGCAGTGGCGCAAAAAGTGGGTATGCAGCGCATGCAACGCATAGGGGCGCTGCGCCAGAGGGGGCGTCAAATCGCAGTCTGGAGGGGGCGGCGCCCCGATGATGCCTTCACATACACTTCACCTCGCGCATATGTAAATGTAGCGAGTTTTACCTCTCACGTGTCTTCGTCTGGGGGGGGTTAAACATACGGTCGCTCATACGGGTAGAGCGACCGTATGTTTTCTACGCTCCTTCACCCTTACATACCTTCCTTGGGGGGTTAGGGGGGTTCCGATTTATGTTTTCGCATCCACCTGAATATTATGTAGTTGCGCCCCTGCTAAGAAGCTACGAACATGTTTTGATACTTGTCTGTCTTCTTGGTCCGACTCGTACTTCCTTCATCACACCTGGGGAGATGAAGGAAGATAAGAGCTTATATTACTAATACGAATAAGCAGTAGCACAACAGTGAGCAAATCCTGATAGTTATCCAACTTGCAAACAGTTAATAAGTGAGCAATCAAAACAAAACAGTTTTCTTTCTTTGTTCCCATACTGTGTTTGTAGGTTTGCTTTGGCACAACCTTGAATGGGTTTTTCAAGTTGTTCCAGATTTTACTTTTGTTTTCTGTCCAGAAGTTTTTGTGTGCAGTTCTATAGATTAAATTCAGGCCTGATTATTCCCTCAGTGCCACATTATACCAGTGTTTTGGTACAACTGCAGACATCAATGTTGCAATAGAACCTTATCACTGCACCGTCACCTCTGTGCTCTGTCAAATAGACTACAAGTGTGTGGCAGACAGGCTGAGATGTTCCCTCTTAATAATACTGAGATACTTCCAGCAAATCATGCAATGT